ACTTTGTGGAAGTTGATCTGACAAGAGAGTTTTAACTGTGGTATTAAACTGGCTACTCTTGTAAAGAATAGGAATAAGGACAGGACGGGATAAAATTCCCCCTGCCCCTTTTAAAGAGAATGTATTATTGCATTCGGTGCTTTTTTTGTCATAGAACACACCAGAATGGAGTTCCAGCACCTTTTTTCGACGGATTTTCCAAGTTTTAAAAGTAACTTTTGAAAATTTGATGTTTGGCCCGCGTGGATTTGAATCGCCCTGTCGAGCGTAGCGGATTGGCTGCAAAATCATTAAAACGGTGCATGCGGGCTGCTTGCGTGTCGAGCCTGGTGTGTGCGTGCTTCGCACTGGTTGCGATGGCGCTGCTCGGCTTGTGATTGGTTGTGTGGTCGCACGCTCAGTGCTTACTGCAGGCGGCAACCATTATGTTTCGTTACACAACTGACGTGAGTGGGTGTGTGTACAGTGATTGACTACATGCGAAAGGTTAATAATTTCATGAGTTCCGGCACCTTTTCTCTTACAAAAAAAAGCACTGTTCTGGAAAAAGTCAAAACCACAAACAAGAAATACACCAAGCCATTGAGTGAGTAGACAGGTGCCCAGGAATAGATACATCTGTATATTCCCAAGAGGTTTACTTCTGAGTAAGTCTGCACAGAATTGCAACACACCCCGTCCCTTTCCCTCCCTCTCAATCAAGCAGTGAAAGCTGTTCACTCCGCTTTCAAAATTACTGCACCCTTCAAAATTAATGCCACAGAATCCCGGATCGCCTCCGAAAAGACCCGAGCCCTGGCAGCCCTTTGGCTTCAGGGTGAAACGGACCATGCCCGGCACGGCTTTGCCAGCCGTTTCTGCAGAGCCTTCTGCGAGGAGAACTGGGGCAGACCTTGGCTCAGGACATCCCGAGCCGGGAAGAGGTGCCTCTCTGACAAAGGAGGGCGAAGCTTATGAAAAGTGGCTTTCTAAGCAGCTGCACACAGTCGCTGGCCTGACCTCTCTGTTCCCCACGGGCTAAGGCTTTATGTCACCTTTGCCTGGACACCAAATCCCTTCTTAAATTCCCTTTAAGAAAGTGCCCTCCGAATTAAGTCCCTTCTTACCAGCCTTCTTATAAAATATTTCTGGCCTGGAACGGAGGGCCCGCTGCAAACCGATCTGATTTTTCTAAGCACTTGAGCCTTGCCTTGGCCAAACATGCCGTCTGTGGCCAGGTTCACACGACATGGCATGGCTGGGTGTGGGCTGGTTTGTGGGTTATTGTCCGAATCCAGCTGAGATAACAAGCCACAGTGAACTACCCCAAGTTCTGCACAAACCATGGGTTCAGCTGGGTTCAGACAACACAATAACCCACCCACATTTCAGCAAGCACCTTCCCAGGAGTGCTGGTTATCATGTCGTCTGAACCCGGTTGCTCCTTTGACTTTCCTTGCCTCGAGGTTCCAAGAACTTACCCTGGGGCAAGGGTAAGTCGTGGGTGTGTTTCCCCAGGGACTAGCAGCTTAGCTCCCAGGATCTCTGGCAGAAACCAACCTTCCCTGCAGCTTGCATCCACTCACAGCCGTTCCAACCTGCACATCAGCATCCCTGCCTGAATTCTCACGACACCCCTAAGAGGCGGTCTCTGAGGCCCAGCACGGTGAGGATAATTTGGATGAGCAGCAGTTAATGCTCATCCCCGGGTCATGGCTGGCCGAGCACTAATTCTGCCCCATAAAGAGTTCATTGCGAAGGTCACTTCCTTGGGAGACTGCAGAACCCCTGAGCTGGCGAAAAATAGGCCATGGCTGTCTGTTTGGCTAATGGGACTAATCGCCTCTAATCAGGATAATTGTTCATCAAATCCAGGAGTTCTCCAGGCTAGGGAGACAGCTGGCCGTCCGTGGATGCCCGATAAAGGCATCCACTAGAAATGTGTCGTGTCTGGAGCGGGAAGCAGTCTGTGTGTCCTGAAAAACCGGAGGCAGCAGATGGCAATTGGTGGCATAAATATGTTATCTCATAGCAGAGGAAGGTGGAAGACCAAATCTGAGATGGATGGACTCAGTCAAGGAAGCCACAGCCTTGCATTTACAAGAACTGTCATGATACAGGACATTTTGGGGGCTTGTGTTCTTAGGGATGACTTGGTGGCACATCACAACGGCAACTTTGAAGAGGCCTCTTGCTGGAAAAATATCAGCAAGAGTGCTTCTGCTTGGAGGGCTTCTGGCCCTTTCTTTCAACGGAGGCTGTAGCCATTTTATTTATTTATTATTTATTATTTTCTGGCTTTCCTTCCGTAAAGGGTGTCTGTGATAAGGCATAAGACGGAAGAAGCAGTGGGAAAACACAGTCACAACTCAAGGGGGGGTGTTGGGAACGGGGCAGGGTGATTGTGTGATCACAACCATGTTCATTCACACACAGGGCAGCGGGACACTCCGATTTTATGGATTGGTTTTTGGTCTCACGGCCGTCAAAGGAGCAGCGGGTTCCATGAGAAAATGCTGAATGACTGATAGGGAGAGTGGAAAAATCGAGGCAGGGAAATGGAATAACATCGTGGAATGGCCAGCCGGCCGGCCGCTACCCCAGATATTTGTTCTCCGTACTGCAACATCCTGTTGCCGTTCCCTCTGTTTTCTTTCTCTTTATTGGCTCTGCATTCGGTAGAATTTCTGCCATGAAAAATCCCCGTCTGGAAACCTTCTATTGAAACTTCTGATGTTGCTCAACTTTTGCCTAAATTAGTCCATGAGGGGATCTATTTTGTATTCGGACACTGAGCTTCCTTGTTGGCTAACTTCCTCATTTGAATTCTGCGGGGGAATTTGGCAGTGTAATACAAAGCCACCAGGAAGTTCTTCAGTTATATAGAAGCAGGGAAACTGTACCTTGTCACCCAGAGCATCCTTCCCGCCCCTGAAACATCTCAGGTTATATGGCCTGCAATAATAATATTCGTTGGTATGGGTAAGGGTGGGAGAATCCTTCTCCATATGCTCAGGGGCTCTCTTGTCTCAACCCTTTCCTCAGCTCAGCCCTGGTTTTTAAAAAAAGCGCTTTATTTTATTATGTTGTGTTTTTCTCCTGCAGAACTCAAGGTGGGTTACATCTGCCACTTCTCCAATTTACCCTCAGAAGCACCCTGTGGGGTAGGTTAGGCTGTCTGTGACTGGCTCTAAGTTATCCATGGAACTTCGGGACATGGCAGGGACTAGAAGCTTGATCTCCTCGATTCCAGCCCAAGCACTATGCAGCCCTGGCCTTGTGCTGCAAAACGTTTGCGGGACGTGAGAAATACGAGCATGCCTCTGAGCCCGTGCAGAGCGCTCTTGACTTCGGACAAGTACGCAACAACTCGTAACTTTCCCACGGCACTCACTGAGCATGCGCATTGAAGGAGCGCTCGCTTTCGGGCCAGCCTTTCTTGCGCATGCGCAGTAGTCGGGCTGGCCTCACCCCTTGTTGTTTGGATACGAAATTGCTGGATTAATTAGGAGCGAGGGGGAAAGTGTTTGGTTTAAATCTAGCCCGGGGCAGGATATTACCGTAACTATAATTATATTTGCATGGGCAGTTCACTTTAAAAAAATCACCCCTCTCGTTTAGAACTCAACTTTCGAGTTGGAAAAAGCACGAATTCTTCTTTTTGTTGCTCCTTCTGCTCGGGGATGGAAGTAGAAAAGCCTTTGGGCCATAACAGCCCTGCAGTGTAGACATTGCAAGATCAATTTTGTAGATCGGAGGTGCGGACTGACGCTGCTTTCGATTTCCAGTCCAAAAGCCCGTCCACGAAATTCTCCAAAGGCTACAACGCTCGAATGTATGCGCAAGACTTACACGCCATGGGCTTTTAGTAAATAAGTACATCTAAAAGGTTAATATGAGCCCACTCATAACAACATACATTAAAAAGCGATTGGATTTTAATGGAGTTCCCCATTATCTTTTATTTTACTTTATTTTCAAATATGTATACTCATTTCTCCTTGGTAGCTCATGGAAGGCTAATAACGAGGACATTACATTTTTATGCTTTTTAACTTTTCGCTGTACTGAAATTCGCAGTACAAATTGATGCAAAACACAAACTTGTAATTAAAGAACAGCAACAGTGAACTTTAAAGCGGGGGCGGGTGGGGAAGAAAAGCTTGGAAACTGTAAGTTTGCTCATGGGTAGCGCAAGGACTGGGAGAGCACCCCTACGTGTTTGTCTACCCTTTTTGTGTGAGTCTATGGGCCGCCTCTCGACTCCAAGCGGAGACACACGCACCACGCATGCGCGCCCCGCCCGCCCGCGCGCGCCGCTCCTCAAGCTCCTCCCAGGCGCCCCGGCCGGCTCGGCCTCGCGGGCCGCCCCGGCGCGCATGCGCCGCAGGCCGCACTGCCCTCCCCGGGTCTCCCCTCAGAGAGGCGGAGAGAGGGAGGAGAATGGAGGCGGTGCGTGGCGGGGGCCGTCGCCGCCGCTCCTCTTGGCCGCGCGCTCTGGGCTGGAGGAGTTGCCGGCGAGTGGCAGGCTTCTGAGGCTTGGCGGGAGGGAGGCCCGCGCACCTGGGCAGAGCGAGCGAGCGAGGGGTGGGGGCTCCCGGAGGAGGAGCGCGCGGTGAGTGACGTCACCCGGGGGCGTGGCTGTGGGGCTGGGGGGCGGGGGGCAGTGTGGGGGGACAGGGCTGGGAGGGGAGGGAGATGTGAGGCAAGGGGGGTTGAGGTGTGAAGGAAAGGGGGCGTGGGGGGCCGAGGGGAAGGGGCCATGGGGCAGGAAGGGGTAGGGGTGGGAGAAGAGGGGCGTGTGGGGCAGGAGGGGTGCATGGCAGGGTGGGAGGGAAAGGGACATGGGGCAGGAGGGCCTGTGAGATGGGGAGGAAGATCAGAGGTATGTGGTGAGGAAGAGGGGGCGTGGGGTCTGAGGAAGAGGGCATAGGGGGCAAAAGGGGGGGGGGGGGAGGGAGCCGGGGGGGGGGGGATGAGGAACTGGCGTCATGGAAAGAAGCAAGCGAAGGAAGGAGGCGTAGGGCAGGAGTGGGCAGAGAAAAGGTAATGCTTGGGGGGTGATTCTGATAGGGAAGTGACTATATGGGGTGCTGGGGAGAGGCTCATGTGGGTAAATGGTAGGGTATGGGGTGGGTCACAATTTTGGGGGTGAATGAGGGATCGGACTGGCTCTGCTTTGCTTGGCTCTTATACCATCTATCCCAAGAATGTGCAAGCCACTCTGTACATGTTCAAGGCCGTGCTCTTGCTTCCCAGGTACCAGAACTAGGCTGTGGCCCTGTGCCTGCAAGGAGAAGGGAGCTCAAAAACTAGACTGTGTAAGTGCAGGAAGGCCTCCGCTGTGGGGAGTGGGAAGGAGGGGAAAGACTCTCAAGAGAGAGAGAATCGCAGTGTTTGGTGCACTGGGGAAAAGTGCGAAGGGGGCATTTTAATGCATTTGCAGGCTGCCCAGGGAACTTTGGCTATGGGGCGGTAAAGACATGAAAATACTGCTTCGGGGAGCTGGATGGGAAAACTGAGTTGGAGAGTAACCTTGGACTGTTAGGGGCCAAACAGACCTAGTATGTGTGAAGGTAGATTATAGGTGGACTGGAAAGGCCAGAAGAAGCTATGAAAAGGGTGTGGGGAAAGATCTGGGGAGCGAAACCGAGTAGGGTGCGTGAAGGGAAGGAGATGAGAGATCTTGGGGTGTATGTCCAAGAGGGGTGCTGCAGAGGATTTGAAGTGAGTTTGGCGATAAGTGGAGTCTAGGGATGGATGTTGCAGAAACTTGTTTTGTCTATTTTTAACTTTTGGCCCAAAGGGGCGGATTTCTTACATAAATCAAGAAGTGGACAAGAGGCGCGCAACAGCACTTACTAATGTTTTAGTTGGCTCTGTTTCTTAAGCGCCATCCCACCTCTGTGGTAAGACAGTCTTACAACGTTGGTTTAAATTTCTCTTTCCCAGCTGTTAACTGTAACAACAGGGCTTGATAAATGGCATTTTTACTATTGGGAAGAACATGTCTTAAGGAAAAGCTCAGTTTTCATTGGCATCAGTTTGATCAAATCTACCATTTATAAATGTGAAAGTTTTACAGAAATAAGGCATAAATCCTAATTCATTATGATCTTGGGCTAATAGAAGTTAATACAAACAGGATAAAATATAATAAGGAGGCAAATACATTCTCCCTAAAGGGAGTTGTTCCTGATATTCCTTAAGGATACAAAATACTTAAGGTGCAATCTTGTCTATACTTATCTAGGAGTAACCTTTCTGAACTCAGTGGGTGTTACTTTGCAGGAAGCATGTACAGGATTCCACTATAAGTAATTTTTCAATACTATAAAGACATCACTTGGCCAAAAAGTTACTAGTTTCATAGCATCTTCTTGATAAAGAAAGAATTGGCCTCTTTCTGAGCATCCTATTCAAAATGCAGCATAAAAATATATGCCCAACAGATTCTATTTCTGATTCCATAGAGACAATTCCAGTTAGCAGAGCAAAGATCAAAATGTTGAAACAAGCAGGCATACACGCTCTTTCGTATGTATAAATAGTTAAACCTTTACAAGGTTCTGGCAGTTTGGAAGATTATTTAAGGATATCCGAGAACAAAGTTGTTCTGGGATGCTGTAAATCTAGTGATACTAACTTTAGGGAGACACAAAGTTGATCCTTTGTAGATCGTCATTTCCCAGGGCCTCATGAGAAATCCAGCAAAAGAATCTGCTTTTTCATAACTTAAAGTTTACAGAAAGGCGAAGCTAAAATTGGTGACGAATGGCCAGTGTCCTGCAGAAATGTCCAAATGTGCTTTAGTATTAGCAAAATAATCTTTTAAGCACATCTCACGTAATATTAAGCTGTTGTTTAGAGTTACGTGCAGAAGTGTCTGTGAGCCTTAAGCTCACATGCTTCTCTCTCAGTACTACTCATGTTTGGCGGAGAGAAAGAATAAACTATGATTCAGCTTTGCTTTCCAAGATTCTTTGCTTGTCCTTACTTAGAATCGTACAGTTGGAAGGGGCCTAGTAAGCCATCAGGTCCAGCCGCCTGCTCAATGCAGGACTCAAGTCCAGATTTCAACCAGGCCCAGCCCTGTTTAACTTCCAAAATGCGGCAGGATCAGGCGTTTCAGGTGATACAGAAGCTCCTTGTGAACCAGGAATTGTAGTTCAGACCAAACCCACACTGAGTGGCTTAGGAAAGTCAGTCACAAACCCTGGGTTGTTTTGCTAGCTTGTTTAGCAAATTGGATTGTTTTAAGCCATAACTCCTGATTCACGTGACAAGCCAGGGAGGATGTCAAGCTGACCGAGTTTATTCCTCCTCCAGCTGCATCAGGAAGCGAGGGAAATGAGCAGTCCCCAAGAGGTTTGCTAGTGCCAGCAAGTGGTGGACCAGATGGCTGTAGTCATGAAAGCAAACATATATGCGCATACGAGATTGTGCGAGGATGCATACACGCTCACACACCCATTCCCCCTTTGGGCACAGGCAGTTTCTGAGGGCTGCATGGAGGCAGTAGACAATGGGTTGCATTGCCTGCTCCGAATCCTAGCTTAGCATTGTGCAAACCGTTGTGTAATGTTGACAATTTGTTGGGATGTTGCCAAGCTTGTAACTTAAGGTATGATGTGGATTCTTTATGCATACTGGTGGTAGGATGTAAATATGGAACTGGGATATTTACTGCACTTTGGGGAAGGATCGGAATGAAACCTCCCATCGAGCATATTTTGAGATTCCGGCAGTCATATTTCCTTCTCTTTTTTTCACTTCTGTGTAAAATAATTGTGTAACCGGCAACTAGGTTGAGACATTCTGAGCCTGTGCTGCCTTCAGAAGATTGGCCTTTCTAATTGTAGGGTTCTAATTTTGCAAACAATAAGATCTAGCACACGGGTGCCAAGCCTATTTCAGCTCAAGGGCCAGCTTACATTTCAGAGAAGCTTTGCGGGGACTGCGTTTTCATGCTGGGTGAGGTCCAAAACATATATTTTGGGTTAAAGTGTCTGCTGCTAGTAATTCAGTTTTAGGAGAAGTGTGTCAGCCTTTTAAAATGGCCAGTGGGAAATTAGGAGGGTGGCTACTCGGAGGAGGGCTTTCTCTGCGGTGGCACCCCATCTATGGAATGCACTCCCCAGAGAGGTCCGCCTGGCACCGTCGTTATTTGTTTTTTGGCGCCAGGCGAAGACCTTTTTATTCAGACGTTATTTTAATTGTTAATCTTATTTATTTATTTTATTCTTTGGCCAGGGTGACTTAATTTATATTGTTTTATTGGGTTCTATTTATTTATGGTTGTGAGCCGCCCCAAGGCTTCGGCGAATGGGGCGGCATAGAAGTCCCCTAAATAAATAAATAAATAAATAAATAAATAAATTCCTCAAAAAACCTCTGCACAAAAGTCACGGAACCATGAGATAATCAGTGACTGGAAGAAAAGGGATGTGGCCTTCTAGAGAACTGTGGCAAGACAGATTGATCGCTGAAGTGCTGGCTTTTGTTCTGTGATTAGAGATTCGTCATCCTTTATCTGTCTGATAGGACAACTGAATTGGGGTCTGTAAGGCCTGAATTTAAGCTTAGTTTTACTAAGCTTAATCTGTTACTGTGGCCCTGTGTAGATCACTAGTTGTGTCCACACATCATTCCTAGTCGTGACCTATGGCTTAATAAGCCAGAATATGAACAGGCTGGAGATGCATATGAGCTGTTTGCTTCCATTCCAACTAGCAAAGTAAGAGTGCATTTTATGGCATCCAACTCGGATCCTGATTGCTAGCTTATGTTCCTAGTGTACTTGGGAGCAACAAACCAGGATCAAAAGTTAGGCCATTAGAAGAAACACGCTCCCCTTTAGCTGCTGTTACAAGCAGTGTGGTGTAGAGCAGGCATGCTGCCCATTCAAACTAAAGCACAGTAGGGCCAGCAACTCTGCTTATAATTCTTTGTGAGTGTGCCCACTGTGTCTTCATTTTAGTTCCCTCGTGTGTCAGATTAAGCGAGTGATGACCAAATCACAGGATCGTTGTAAGAGCAGACAAAACTTAGTCTATTTTAGGGTAAAATCCTGTATGGGTTTAGATAGAAAAACATCCTACAAACTCCTGCATAGCTTGTAGACTTTTTTCTGCCTAACCTTGCATAGTATTTGTACCTTTACAGTAATTTGTCTGTGGTATTCCGAAACCTTTACAAAAGTACAAGAAGTGTTCTGGCTGTCAGTTGCATTGTCTTTTTGCATTGTCTTTTGTGTGCTTGAAGGGAGAAGTGTTTGGACTGAATGGTGTCTTAGAAGGAGGTGCATTTGCATGTATTATTAATTTTATAAAATGCTGAACAAAACATTTCATTTGTCTAGAGAGGGTTGAGATAAAGTGCTCCCTTGTTCCGCGTTCTGAATGTACCACTGTTCTATTGTGTTATAAGACTTATAGGGAGTTCCTAACAGTGTAATTTATAGGCCGATGTCTTATGGGGTAATCAGGCTGTTCTGGCCAATTAATGACAGCATGAGCAAATGGGTGTTAGATATGCTTCAGACTCTACACTTGATGCTTTATGTTGTGCAATGCAGGCACACAACTTGCCACATCTGATGTTGTAGCAGTTGAGGGTCAGAGCAGCTCACGCATCATACGATCATCTGCAGTTTACCATCTCCTGAAATGGCAAGGTGACACTTTTGCAATATGGGGGATTTTCTGTGCTTCCTCTGGCACTACCCCTGCGGTCTTTCTCTGGCTCGTTGTCACACAACGAGTGTAGAAAGATTACCGCTGAAAACGGGCTGGAAATACCGATGTGATCTAGTTCTGCCTGCAATTGTATGACGGCCAGCCTGCGCTGAAATCTTTTCCAGGCTTTCTTTCCGATGCCAGCCCACTCTTGTGAAACTTAAAAACTTTTTGGGCTGTGAGAAGTTTTAACGATGCTCACCAGACCATAGAACGTACAGAGAGAAAACGTGCCGGCTATATTTGGATCATTGATGTTATTTAATTCATGTATTTATCGCCCAATAGCTGGGGTGGTTAACCAATGGTGGAAGCACAAAAAGCAGAACTTTAGGATGTCCGTTTAACTTCAGCATACAGTTATTGTAAGTAAATTGTCCCCAAAGGCAAGTGGCAGACGTACCGTGCTCCTTATCGGTGGTAGTTTGAGGGATGCCGAAGGGTCGTTCTTCCGTGAGATCGTTCAGATTGGCGTGCGCATCTTTAAACCTTGGGAACTGAGGCTTGGTGTGACTTCAGATGAGTACTGATGCAGTTTCAGTGTGTTCCGTAGGCTGACATCACCTTTGATGGACTTTGCATAGTAATTTTGCAGATATGATTGGAAGTGTTTCATTGATGCAGGATCCTGTTTACCACATCATTTTACTACTGTCGTTGGATATGACAGTTTTGTAACAACGATCTGTAAGCTTGTGTTTCTTCTGCAGATCACCACTTTCAGGGAAGGACCCCATAAGTGATTCTGATTATGCGACTCTCAGCTTTTCTTTGTTATTTTTCTTGGTAGTGGCACATCCTCTGGAATTTTATTTATTTAGGAGACTTCTGTGCTGCCCCATTCGCCAAAGCCTCGGGGCGGCTCACATCCATAAATAAACTTCCATAGAATAATATAAATTAACAGTATCATCATCATCTAAAACTTTTGTGTGCTGTCACCACATGCCTTGGCATCTCAGGAGGCTCACAATACATGCCACATGCTGATGCTCATTCCTTTGGTGCCCCACTCACAGCTTTCTTGGCTAAATGTTCGTTCTTGCACATTGCTGGGAGGGTTTTTCTGCTGTGCTTCGGCTCTGTCGTGGCATGAAGGAACTGGCCAAGATCGTCTAGCATGGCTTCCAGCTCCCGAAGGTGGTTAGCCGCAAGTGTGTAACAGGGTTCTGTGTTACGCTGGAGCTGACGTGCCTTGCTCAGCCAGCCAGGTCAAGGGATGTGAGAACGATTTGTCGGTGGAGTACGAAGATGAGGCGCTGGCAAATAGAGTCACTGGAAGCGCATTGCTTGGAAGAAGTGCCGTGATTTCATTTTGCTGAATTGGCTTTTGGTGAACGGAGCGGGTTTTGCACTGGTTGGAGTGGCCCTCCGTTTGCTGCAGCAGTGTCCTCAGGCAGGTGTTATGAACACATTGTACCTGCCCTGTCTGTGCGAAGGTCCACTCCATTTCCCTGAGGAAATTCTGGGCCTTCTATGGGAAGAAGGGAGACACCAGCGCGCGCGCGCGCGCGCGCGCGCGCGCGCTCTCTCTCTCTCTCTCTCTCTCTCTCTCTCTCTCTCTCTCTCTCTTTCTCTCTTTCTCTCTCTCTGCAGACACCAAATCGCCGTCTCACCTATTCCTCTCTTCTGACTTTAGCTGTCTCAATTGCTAAACGATGTGCCAGTTAGGGAAATTTGCCACCTAGCCACTGAATATGTAACTGCAAGCTTCAATTTGTGGACATTTACATGAAAACCAGTTAATGAAAACTGAGAAACCATGTGGTTCGCACATTTCTTTAGTATGCCTGCCGAATTTCTTGGTCTTGGTGTTGTGGTGCTGGCCGATGGGCATGCAGGTTATTACGTATAATAGATGCTATGTTATGTTTCATGGGTCTGCATATTTCTTAGGCCTTTACAATTAGTTGCTATTCATGAGACTTTGCAAAACTGCAAAACAAAAATTTAAGGAGAAATGACACTTTCTTCCAGATTAGCATCTTGTCACCATTTAAAAATACACATTTGAGGTTGTTCTCCTGTTCTGATTTTAGCGGGTTTGGATTTGTTAATCAGCAATCATCTCTGGATGGACAGCATTTTCAAACTACTTCATTACAACTTAGTCCGCAATTTAATCCCCGTATCTTTCCGAAAGTACTTAACAAGCCAACAATAGCTATTCAATATATGATTAATAAGGATGAAGCAGCCTGCTGCAGAGTCGTTGACACAAGCGTGAAGACAATAACAAGTACATAAATAAGCTGTCAGAAGTGGAATGCTAAGCTAGATGCAGAGTGTTCTGTGATTTTGAGCTTTTAGCCATTTTAAAAGTTGACCTCCCTTTTCTTTCCAAGAAAGCCATTTTCCTGACATGGAGGTGCAGCCAGAAGCCTTTGGCCCTGCTGGAGACGACACGAGCACAGAAGACACCTGCTTCCACTGTTCCACATGTCGAGCCGACGAAGAACGGAGTTGTACCAACTCCATGCGGGGACGGTCAAAGACACGCAGCTTGTCTGCTTCTCCAGCCCTGGGCAGTACCAAAGAATTCAGGTATGTCATACAGGCATCCTTTTGAGTTAGATAAGTCAAAGGCAGTGCTTGGATAATCAAGTCTTGGTTTATGGCTGCGGGTTCAGTCCTCTCGCTGTGCACTCTTTCCTTTTACTCTGAGAGAAGGAACAAACAGGGAAGTCTTCTGTTAATTTTAGTTTCCTGTTTCATCTGGACAAGGAAACTAAGTTTAGTTTTAGATCGTGTCAACCTGTGTTTAACACAGGAGGTTAAACTACGGTTTGAAGTTGGTTTAATTTTCTGGCTTGTTTTAATCATAGGTTTAATCATAGTTTTCTGGTTTGGATAACATCTACTGACAGTTGGCCCACATCTCTTAAAATACCTGGGCACAAGAAAGTACTTTGACCATATTTCCTGAAAGCTGGAAGAGTGGTTCTTACGCTTTAATCAACTTTTCTGTATTGCTTACATACAATACTGACCTAGGTTTGTTTGTTTGCTTTGATGAAGCTTTTGATTTTTTTTTCCATTCTGTGCAAACAACCATGTTCCCAAGAATTTCAACTTGCATTGTTTAAACTATAGTTTGTGTTTATTTAAATTATAAATATCAAAACCAAAGTTATTATATGAAGAAAGATGTGAGAGCATGTAGATATCATCTGGTAAATTCATTGAAGGCAGAGCTGTTGCTGTGAGCCACCCAGAGGTGTTGTGGCACAACTGTGGGCAGCATACAAATGTGTTAAATAAACAAAGGAGTGAGACCACCATATGCCTTCTTGACTCTTGCCTTGGCTTCGGCAGCAGAATAAGTCAGGCACGGCAGTAGAGACGGCAAAATTAATTTCATGCAAAGTAGCAGCGTTGTCATTGCTTAGGCAGCTGGGAGAATGCAGTTTTTCTTGGTTCAGGGTCAGCTCTCTCTTTCTTGCAAAATATTATTGATGTGGGGCTTCACAGAGTGACAAAACAGTGGAAGAATTCCCGTCCCAAGGAGCCTTCAGTCTGCGTTTTGACAGAATAAGGACACAAATATAGAAGAAGGAAGAGGCTTTGGGGGGATGGAATGAACATGACCGCGGTACATGTGGTTTAGCTTTGTTTCATTCCCGTTGTGGCCGGATGGTCTTTAAGACCGCTTTGCCATACTTAGCAAATAGAATCCCGCTTGAGGTACGTTTTGCCGTTTCAGCTGTACAGTGATTAACGACAGTACAAAGGTAACTCTTAATCGACAGAGTTGCCTCCCAGCGGGCGAGTACATCCTGTTTCGTGTTTGAATTGCAAACCTAATGGCTGCGAATGTTCCTTGGGGTGAAGAGGGGGGTCTGAGAGCAGCTCACACACGGGCCGGTGCTCCGGACAGCACGAGGCGGACAGACCTTGAAGGCTGAGGCTTGTGCAGCCTCTGTCCTGCTTGGGAGTGTGGAGCTGCTTCGCGGGTAGAATTCCATGTCATCTCCTTAGCTGGCTGCAGCATGGAGCTTAGAGCTGGAACTGCCGGGGAGGCGAAAGCGGGACCTCTTAGGTGAGGAAGCTCAGGCCTTAGGCCTGGGTACGGGGCACTTGGACCTCCGTCTTCTTTAACACATCCACTCTTCCTCTCCACATGTCTTTTTCTCTCGGTTTCCTTTGCTAATATTTTTCTTAATACACTTTAAAGCCAGAGTGGAGAATCTTTACTCTGCATTTGCTCAAGGGCAACCTGTGAGCAAAAAGTAGGGCAGGGCAGGCCTTTTTTCCCCTCTTTCTTCCTCATCCTTTGCTTTCTCTTCCTACCCTTCCCCTTTTCTGGTTCAGTCTTCTTCCTTCCTGTCCAAAGGGAGGGACAGATTGTTCTTGCTGGTGGCCTGAATTGATCACTTGCAGCAGAGCTTAGAAATTAGACTGAGGGCTACATGCAGTCAGGGTGTGGAATTCATGCAGCCCAATGGTGCAAGTTGTTCCCTCGAACACACACTGAAATAGGTACACTTCCCAGAGCGCTGATTAGCGTTGTTGGAAACGTGGCCTGCTTCTTTGGCCACCCCCTTGGATTCTGCAACACCTGTTTGGAGAAGACCTGATTCCAGCTCGTGTAACTGGGCCGATTTTTTGTTGAAATGTGGACAGTGGCATTAGATCACTTCAGTTGGAATCTAGTGTCCCCCCCACCCCCGTTTCTGAGATCACTTTCTCCATTGCGTACTTCTTGAAACAAGTTGAAAGGAAAAGTGAGAAATGGGCATGTGATTGAGTAAATAATAGGAGGCTAAAATAAGTAAAAGGAAGTATTGAAATCATTGCGGTAGGAAGGCGAGAAACAGAGCGTGTCCTATATGTATTTACTCAAAAAAAAAAAAAAATCTGCTGTGCTCAGTGGTACTTAATCGCTAATAAGAGCATTTAGGATTATAAATTTCGTGTCCTAACTTAAATAATGCCACTTTGGGGAGTAGCCATGGCGTGTCTTTACCCTTGTGTGTTATTTATGGGTGTGACTCTCCATTTCAGGACTCACTTTTGAAAGCCCGAGAGGAGGATGTTCCTGCTGCCGTTGTCAATATGGGCGTGTCCATGAGAAGGCAGTAAGGCATAGCCTAATGCGTAAACCAGGTTACCCATGCGTGCAACACCCAGGAGCAATTGATATAGAGCAGTCTTGCCCACTGGGAGCTTGCAGAATGTATTTTTAATGTTGCAAATTGTTTTTGAATTTTTAATGCTTTTTAGTTCCATGGAATAGGTTCCTAGGACCCTTCCACTGGTCCCCAATAGCAGGCTGCCAAACTGTTCCTTCGAACTGGCGCACAGCCTAGTGCCCCCTGGGTGTTTCAAGCTTCAGTGCCTATCATCTCCAGCTAGTGGTCAGGAATCATGGATATTGTGGTCCAAATCAGCTGGAGCAGAGGTGAAGACTTGGGGAAAATAAAGGAAAAAACAGGAACAGATAAGCATGAAAAGAGCCTGAAAGCAGGCACAAGTTGGCAGTCTCTCTGAAGTATGGAAGGGGGCTGAAATCGAGGCCCCTTGAGGACCAGCGCTCACCTGTTCACCTTGTTTGTCATGAGGCACCTGTCAGTGGTGCTCCCCTCAACCTTCTGTCCCCAACAACTTTAACCAAAAGCAGCCCTGGAAAACAGGGAGTCCAAAAGGAGAATCCAAGGCAGAGTTGATGTTGTTGTCCTTCCAGCTGCTTTACTTGTTCTACCTTCACCTCAAGTGGTTCTCTCTGAGGGGAGGCACCTGGGGGGCATCTCAAATAGGAAAGCAGGCACCTCTATCTCTGGGGGAAAGGAGTTACACAATGAGATGGTCAGAGGGGAAAAGCAGCCATTGAGGAGAAACCTCAAACAACTTGGCTGCAAGGTCAGCCCCCCATGATACCAATTCAAGGTGGAATGTTGAAGAGACTAACCTAACCAGGAGACTAACCTTTGGGCCTGACCCTAAAAAAGCAGCATTCCTTTATTTCAGAAGCCATCCAGGCGTGTCGGGACTGCAACCTGCACCCGTTTAGCCCGCACGGTTGGTGCAGTGCGATGTTGGCACACCTGGCTTACATGATGAGGTGAAGACGTAACAAGATGGTTACAGGGCAGGCAGAGAAACGTTGCTTGTGCACAGGAGTTTCTGGCAAAGATGGCAAGGCCTGCAAAGGATCAAATCTGAGGTTCATTTCCTGAGTGGTCAGGGAGGCAGCCTTTCAAGTCCCGGAAGAGTCCCACTCTTCGGCAGTTTTCTTGGAAGTCTGTGCCGTGATGAAATGTAAACTTTGAAACAAGGGTGGAGGCGTGTTGTTTCGTGGTGGCGCAAGTGTCTAAGATGATTAGTCACTGTCACAGTACCAGTGATGATGGTAACGTAGGTATTTATATAACTATAATCCTCGAGGATTCTCATTGGGGTATGACTGGAATAATTATGGCATTGCTTTCATCCGTGGTTAAAGAGAATTACCTCCCCTACACGCACTAATGAGCGTTGTCTTATGACCAGGCGGTATGATGATGCTGCAGGAGAGCAGAAGTGGGTGTGGGATGTGCCCCATCCTCAAAAACAAAGCCTTCGTTCTAGAAACAAACAGGCAAAAAACAAAACAAAACAAAACAAAAAAACTCTAAGAACGATCATGATCGGTTTTAAGGCAGGTGTGCCACAGAAGGCACTAGCTTGACTTTTTTTTTAAATTAGCCCAGATGAAAAGACAGGCTTTAAAAAACAGTAAACAAGACTCTTCCATCTACTGGTGGAAGTGCAAAAGAAGGACCCATCTCTTCTCTGTCTGCCCTCTCAAATAGCAGCATGGAATTCCTTGCCGGTTGTTAAATGCAAGAGCGCACGGAGTGAGTCTCTGAGAAGCAGCTGCCCTCAGCCGCACAGTTGGTGCTGTTTAGGCATGCGGAGTTCGTGGCCGTGGCTTATAGTGGGCACACGGGACCAAGGGAGTTGTAGCTTCAAAGCAGCAGCGTAGAACCTGTGACCTGGTTGGGAGCACGACTGCTGTCACCCCTGACCACTGGGCACGGTGGCCAGGGTGATGGGAATCGGTCCCCGCCAACATCTGGAAGATACCGAGTTGGGGAAGTGCTTTCTTGCAGTATCTCCTGCATCTAGGTGAGGTCCGTGAGTCTGGACGGAGGTGTTTCCTGCCTGTGTCTATGTGTGCATGCATGTGCGTGTGCACATTCTCGGACTTCAACTTCCTTTCTTACTGCTTCGGGGATATTCTCTGCAGAAAAGCAGCATATACATTTAGTGAATATATATGTTGCCTACTTTCTGTTCTGTCCTAACAGAACAAAACCTTTGGCGTGGAGGTCGCTCCCTCCCTCAACACCCTGCCTCATACGGGGCATAGTTCTCTGCTGCGATTTGATCACAGGAAAACACTGTTGCCTATTTCAAACACTGGGAGAAACAAAGGATCTGTTGTCTTAGCGCCTTGCTTTGGCAGGAGAGAGAGACGCGGTTCCTTGGAATGTGCTGGGAAGGGTCAGGAGACAGCGGCCGTATGGGGCAGTGTTCTTGGAAAGGTATCAGAGGCCACCTGTGTGGAGCCCTCTAACGCCATAACAGTGCTGCTTGCTCTGTCTTTAAAACTTGGCGTGAGCCGCAGCGTGTATGTATGGCTCACCTGGAAGTAATTGTTCTTCACCAGAGGTGACTGTCCACGACACGCCTCCAGTCACCTGAGGTGAAGAAAAATGGCTCCCAGGCAGGTAGCCAGAGAGAATCAGCTCTCTAATTCAGGTGGTTGATGAGCCCCATAGTTATGTAGTGGGCTAGCAAAAATAAAGCCTGTGGGCTAGAAACTTGTGATTGAGTGATCTGCAAGGCTGCCTTAGTCATACGTGCCGATCGCCTGTTCTTGTGACACGTTTTCATGTTGCGATGCAGCGCTGCCTTAAAGCGCAGCATCGAGGCTCCACGAGGCTTCCTGCTTGGTTCGCACGTGCTGGTTCAGATGGCAGAACGCTGCAAGGCCGGACCCAGGAAGCAGAATGGCTGGATCACCGATGCCTTCATAGGCTCGCGGAAAATGATGGTTGCACCTTCCTGTGCAGAGGTCCGCACAGATCTCCCATGGCCGTTCCCTGCCTGTTAGCTGACGGGCACGGCTGCTCTGCAGAACTGGGGGAGCTGCGGCGCTCCACACACCCCAGGTGGACCGCAGACGTGTTCCTGGGTGTCTGCGTCTCTGTTCCACTTAAGCAAGGCGTGCTCAGCTTGTGGCCCTGCAGAAGTTGTTGGACTGCAGGTCCCATCAGCCCAGCCCGGCAGAGCCGAAGGTGAGGGATCGTGGGAGATGCAGTTCAGTAACATATGGGATCCTACCATGGTTTAAATAGGTTCAGTCCAAAGGTACCGCAGACTGGGCCCCAGATCTGTCTCCCAGGGGGCTAGATGTAGTTTGCAGAGCCCTGATTATCCACTGGTTCTGATGAAAGGATTATTCTCAGACTGGTTGTTAAACAGAAGGAAACTTCAAGGAGATCGCAGATGGGGATTGCAGTCCCATCTACCTAGATGTTTCACTCAATCTCTAGGGCTTTCCCCTGAGTGCCCACCCCATGAGAGGCTTGGAGAGTGGCAACTAGTGTGTGTGGGGGGTGGAGTTCTACGGTGGCCCCCATCTTGGGAACAACCTTCCTGCTGTGACTTGCATGGCACCAAATTTCCCATCTTTTCCGTGCCAGGTCAAAGCAACTCTTTATATAAAGGCCTTAAAGATCTCGTTGGTGATCCAGGGCCCTGAGGGGATTATCTGGGTAATTTTCTTGCTGGATCTTTTCATTGTATTTTCAAGCTGTTTGAATTGATTTAAACTCTTTTTACATCTGTATTTTATTGTTTTATTCTATACTTTGTTGTAAGCTCCCCAGAAAGCTTCAGCTACAGAGCAGTATAGAAATAAAATAAACAATAATATTTAAAAAACAATGGGGATGGATACATTAACTTCCTCCTCCCCATGTGCTGCAACACTCTTGAGAAATGCATCCTTCATTTTAAACAAACATGTATAGACACAAACTAGCATATGCAGGTTTAATGTTCTTTTTGTTCTTTGGGCCTAGTCCCTGGGGAAAATCAGTAGGCTTTGATTGGAGTGATTTCAGTGAGCCATACTTCAAGGATGTTCTAGTTTTAAGTCCATTCTGATATGCTTTTGCTTTGGTTTATGTTAGGCTGATAGCAGAGAAGCTTCCAGAAGAATCTGGAGCAGCTGCAGGACTCCTGTAGTGTCTGTCCTGCCCAGAAATGTTGACCCTTCACTCTGGATGGCCGTATGCATGCATTGTTCCAGTGCTTTAGTTTGTTTGTCTCTAATTTTGCTGCACTGCTCTGTTTTTGAGGTGTCCTGTGCTTTCCATTGCCTTGCACGCCAGGTGTTGCACACCTGGTTGCCTCCTAGCCTCCTCTTATTCAAGGATATATCCATGCTGCAGTTCCATGAAAATGCAGAATTTTGTATTGGGCGCGGAATGCAGCTTCCTGGCCTTTGAGTTGAAACAAAATGGAGAATTGTGTTTCTAGCTCTCATGGGTCGCTGGTCAAGAGTGAAGGCAGTTCCGCTGGATTCTCAGAAGCCGCGAGGAAGGGCTGGAGGAGTTTTCCGGGGGAGGTTTCCGTGGTTCACAGCCATTGGTCCTATCTATCTGTGACTCAATTATATAGACTACATTATGAAAATAAGAGCAATTATGTAAATAGGCTTCACTCCACTAGCATGGAAAACTTGGTGCTGGTAGGGGCACAGAATCCGGATCGTTTGCATGCAAATAATTCTTGTAATTCTTCTTTTTTCCATTTTAAATGTGGAGGACACACAGCCCTGCCGTTGTCCCTGGCAAGCTGTGGTAATTGGCCCTCCGGAGAGACTGTGAGTGTGTGTGATGATTTGTTTATTGTCTGGAATGCAGGACAGCACATGAGAAGTGTGTGTGGACTGTACAGCGGCATAATAGGAATAACATCCCCATTGCTGCTACAGGAGTTCAGCAGTTCCTGGTAGCATCGGATGCCTCAGCAGCCACTGAGATCCAGAGGCTGTTGGAAAGCTTCTTTATGGCTCTTCAGGCTTTTGTACAAAACCTGGTGAGCAGAATCCGTAATCCTTAATCCCTTGAGAGCCAGTGTGGTGCAGTGGTGAAGAGCATGGGACTGGGACTCAGACGATCCGGGTTCGAGTCCCCGCTCAGCCATGGAGCCAGCTGGGTGACTTTGGGCCAGTCACAGACTCTCAGCCCAGCCTACCTCACAGGGTTGTTGTTGTGGGGGTAAGATGGAGGAGGAGAAGGATGTCAGCTGCCTTGAGCCCTTTGTGGGAAAAAGGCAGGATATAAATCGAAAGATAGATAGATAGATAGATAGATATCATGAGTACTGTCTAACCCAAATCACCCTCATTCGACCAGCATTAAGCTCCTTCACCTAGTGAGGACAGTAAGCAAACATTTGCTTTGTGACTTTGCACACATGGCTGAAGGCAGCGGGGCGGTGTGGGGGGGGGGAGCTTGCAGAATGCTGTTCTGGTGTACCTGCTTGAAAGGCTACCTCCTGGCAGTACTGGGGGAGACCACCTCCAGAGATCCTGGAAAGCATTGCCTGCTGGGGCAACTGTTTTCTGATTCTTCATGTCTCACAGTAGCCGCAGTGATCCCCCCCCCCCCCCCCGCCACCACATTAGGTTGCTGCAGAGAAGAAGGTTTGGCATGCCCAGGCTTTGATTTAAAATAATTCTGGGCTCAGCTCAGTTGTGATATTGTGGGGGTGGCGGGGCGAATCCTAGGCTTGGAATACGCTCAGTGCTTTAATTCCAAGCGCAAGTCTTTGGTACCCAGCTCTGGCTGGGGAAGGTTGGGTGGGTGGGTTCCTCACTCTCACAGCTAAGGTAGGTCTCACACCCCTGAAGTCTGCCTGCCCCTGGACTAACCAACATTGGGCTGTAACTGGAATCGGCATAATGCAGGTGTATATATCTGCACATCTGACACTCCTGTTGAAATCTGCCTCACTTAAAACTGCCTAGTTTTGAGCCAGAACGTGCCTTTAAAAATCATTAGTATTTATTACTTATTTCTTCCATTGATATCCCGCCTTTCCGCCAGTGTCCCCAAGGCGGCATGCGCGATTCACCTTACAGCAGTTTTGTGAGGTGAGTTAGGCCGAGTCTGTGCAATTGGCTCAGAGTCCCCCAGTGAGCTTCATGGCGAGTGGGGACTAGAACCCGGATCCTGCGAGTCCTGGCCCAGTGCTTTCCCCCATCCTGGGACGCAGGATGATTTAGTGAAGTAATCTTTCAGGCTGGCAGTGTCTTTGCTTCTTAACTACGGCGTTGGAAGCACATTTCTAAGAACTCTTAGAAAATAAGGTAACTAAGTCATTTCCTTTCTCTTTCAGGAGAACACGCTCCTTACACGGACCATGCCCGGTGACCACATTTGGACCAAAAGCCTGTATGCTACAGAATCCCCAGACTATCATGTAAGTGGAAGAGTTCTCGGGCCTGTCCAACTGCTTCACCTGCTGCTGAATAATTAAGCCTGATCATTCATACACACGTGTGCAACCTGCTCAGTTGAATTCATCCGTAGAGTTGGTTGTCCCTCCTTGGTTTGTGCTTGCTGCTTGTTAAAATTAGTTGCTTTTCTGTCCTAAAAGCCCCGATTTCCTGAACTGAGAATAGGCTTTCTGAGCAAGCAGTGTGCTTGATGGAATCTTCGTGGGTTTGTCAGCTATTCTGATGATCAGGCATGCCGTTTGGCGGTGCTGCCGTGCTTGGCCATACCTGTCCAGTCAGGTTGCAGATCTTTGGGACCTGCCACGCTCTGAACTGATGGAGGGCATCCTTGTCTCCAGAGGCAGCCAGTGCGGTCTGCTGCCAGGCCGTACCTATTCATATTGTGAGCACAGAGGGTTCTCTGTTGTTACCAATCTTAAATGCAGGTTTCGTGCCATGAAAACACACCAGAAGTCATGTTGTTGAGCATATCAAATGTGATGCTTTTGTGTGAGTTATCCTTGTATACCTGCTGCAATCACCGTGTATTCTAATGACACACTAATCAGTTGTTGAAACTAAACTAAGAAAAGTCGTATTTCTTCTGATAAATTCCTTTCTCTTTACTGCAGTCTTTCTCAAGTTCGCATCCCCAGGTGTTGTTGGACTGCAGTTTCCATGCTCCCTGACCACTGGCCCACATGCTGGGAGAGATGGGAGTGGTAATCCAACAACATCTGGGACTGTGTACTTATTATTATTATTATTATTATTATTATTATTATTATTATTATTATAACATTTCTATGCCGCCCCTTGCCGAAGCCTACTTAGGAAGAGGCTTAGATACTTTCCCACCTTTTTGAATATGTGGATGAAGTTTGCCCTCCACAAACAAACTTCATTTCATTGCTAGCATAATTCATAGAAACATAGAAACAGAGCGAGTCAGAAGGGGTCTCCCGGGCCATCTAGTCTGACCCCTGGCTCCAGCCGGCTCTGCTCACATTCAGAACAGGTAAGAAGGGTACTTTAGGAGTTGGCTTAGTGTTGCCTCACCTATGCGTCCAGGAGATCAGGGGGCAGGGGGCAGGGAAGCCAGCCCCAACAGCTGTAGCCAGAGTGTGAAAGCACCAGTTCCTCATCTGGTTGGTCAGCAGCTGCCTGTCAAGTCCAGGAAACCTGGTTGTTGCCGAAGCAAATGAGGAACTGACTCAAGCCATAACCACCGAGGAATGGCAGGTTTTGTGGGCCAGCAGTGGCAGACTCCCTCTCTTGCAGACATCGGTGATGTGAATTAAGTTTGTCCCCATGTACTGCCCTGCTCTGGGAGATCATTTTGAATACTGAGAGATGGGAGCTACCTCCCAAATCTGGTTGGTCAGCAGCTGCCTCTGCCAAGCCTCTTCCTCTCCAGAGAAAGGACACTCACTCACTCCCTGCTCATGCAGGACAGGGTGAAATAAAACTTAAGACACATTCGCCTTTTCAGCATTTTCAGTTTTTTTGTGTGCCTGTTACTTTCAAAAGCTGGCCAAGAGTTGTTGGTGAGGATAGACAGCCTTCCTTTTTTGTCCTTTTCAGTTTGTAGATACTGTCCTACATGTAAAACCATTCTGTTAATATTTTGTCCTTCGAGAATTAATCTTTCGCAGTTAATCTTTCGCTTGGTAGGAAGTCCTTGGCCTTCCACTTGTGCTTTACAGTTTCCTTGAAAGCGTGTCTCTGGCTTTTCTCTTGGTGAATAGGAGAGTTTTGCAAGCATTGGTGTTGGGGAATAGTAAAATGTGCCCTAGGAGAAGGGCTGCAGCTCTTTGGGGATTCGGGGTGGGAACATTCTCTGCCTGAAGAGTTGCTGCAGTTCCAAGTAGAAAATTTGATGATCTGGCTCCGTACAAAGCAGCTTTGTATGTTCCTTTGTACCGCCTGATGAAGCTTGTTTTTAAGACCAAATGGAAGCTGCTGTTTTCATATGCTCCAGGGACGGACGGGTGTTATAATTCTGTAGCAGCTGAATTTGAGCTGGCGTGAGTTGTTGAGGGAAGGAGCTCCCCTTGGAAATCGGCCCAGCGTCACTGGTAGCGTAGCTGAGATGTCACCTAGACGCTTCCCTTCTTTACTTTTGGAGAACGTGAAGCCACAGAAACAATTCTTAACTATTCTAACATCGTATTTTATATGATGTTCAGCCAGCGTGGAATAGTTAACTTATTTTATTCTGAAATAATGTTGTAAGCCGTCCAGAGACGGAAGTAATGGATGGCGTACAAATTTGATAAATAAACAAACTAGCAGCCTGACTGGGGGAAAAAACCCCAAAGCACTTTTAAAAAATCAATACTGGACCCTAGACATTGAGAAAGGTTCTCAGTTGTGTATATTTGAGCTTTACTTCGTTAGTTAGTTATTTCCCGTCCAAGAGCCATATAGATAAAAGAAGGCTCAAGAATGAATTTTCCCCTAAGCAAGAAATTCTGAGGAACAGCCTGGAGGAAGAAAGCTTTGCAAGAGATCCGGGAACTTGATGTACCTACAAGTACTTCTAAGGTTTAATCACTCAACACGCATCGTCTTTTCCCCAGCCGGTCTTGATGAAGACTGATTCTAGGTTGCTGTTCTGTCAGACCTCCTGGGAAGGCTCATTTTCATTAAAAGCCCGACTGGAAGCCACAGTGTGGGGCACCTCTGCATCACTTCTCTGCCCCTGTGATCAGGAGAGGTGTAGGGGCAGCCTGGGAGCAGTGGCGGGGCAATCCTTCAGTGGTGCCAGGCATGCTACATGACTCCGGCCTGAGTGATGTTTCTCATAGCCTGCTCCTTAGGACGAACCCTTCACTGCCCCCTGTGGCCTGCAGCTGCGATTTCACTTCCAAGGGAGGTCGGTAAGCACCCGGATCCACTTGGGCTTGGTCTGATTTTGATGTCAGCATTTGGAATGTCATGGAGTGTTGCTCCTTCGCCACGAAAAATTAGTGCCAGAAGATAAAAGTGTGTTCCGCCACCCTCCGCTTTGCTAATTCTGCTCCTGCCTAAAGGAGGAGAGGAACAGCAGGGTGGGAATAGCTGGGTCAACACCCCCTCAGGCATAGCATGCTAAGAGACATTGTTAATGTTTGACTAATGGAAGTGCTCGCTGAGTGCAGCAAGTCAGGTCCTTGCATTTTTCTGGGACTCCTGCTGGATGCATCAGATGCGGGTGAGCTTTCCAAAACAAAAAGGTGTGGGAGAAGGAAATGCAGATGTGCCAGTTGTGAGTAAGGCAGTGATCCCAAGGAGGCTGGTTCTTCCCTCCAGAACATGCCTCCCTTCAGGGTGTCCCAACAGACCAGAGCTGTCTGTTGAGGGGACAACGCAGAGATACTCCAGCAAGATGTCCACCACACGGCATGCGTCGGGTGTGTTGAACTCAAGCTCCCCTGTGCTGCTGGCCAGCATCGCTGTCCCTGGTTTCCTCTGGAGGGAGCCAGGTTGGGGAAAGGTGTTCTGGCACATTTGCATGTCCCAACTCCGTGTGTGATGAGGAAGGCTCAGGTGGATTTTTAACCACGGTGCATGTGCACACGCCCTTCTCTTGCTTGCTCCTTTTCCTTCTCACCCACCCACTTCTTCTGGCTTACAAGCGAGTGAGTAAAGGAAGTTGGCTGGTACCAGCACCAGTGCCAGGTGAGAAGTCAGAGCACCACTCCTCTGGCCCGTCTGGCTGGCAGGTGGAGGAAGATTTCCCCACCCCAACAAGGGAGTTCTGCAAGGCTGGAGGAGGCGGGAGTGGGGCTTTGTGGCTCCTTCGAAACCGTGGCTCCCAAAGGGCAGGAGTGAAGTTGCTTCTTCCTCAGGCCCTGTTTGCTGAGTTCCTGCCCCACACACCTTGCCAAGCCCCTCCTGCCTGTGAGCAGCAGGCCCTCCCACGGCTGGGGAGCCTGTGGCTTAAGAGAGATTGCTGCATATTCAGCTTTGGACTTGCATCATTTTATCATCAGTCTCTGGCAGCTGAGTGGCTGCTGCTCCTCCCTCTGGGCCGGGCTGAGATCGTACAATATAATGCTGGTGTGTTATTAGACCAGCCCAGAAGCTTTTCAGGAGCATTCAGAGCTTAGACGGCATCCAGAATTTCCAGCAAGACAGACGGGTTCTTTTCACAGAGGATGGGCAATCAGCTGAGCATCTGACTTTCCCGAGACAGCTTCAGCCTTCAACAACTTTTTAAAATGCATGTTGCATCCAAAAACTATATTCTTTCCCTCCAGTAATTGAAAGCTGCTGGCACCGAATCTTTTTTTTTTTTTTTTTAATAAGAGGAAATTAACAAAATCCCAAGATTAAACTCGGGATGGCAGTGCTTTGTTACATGAGGGCACACCAAAGCATCTGGTGTTGATTAAAGTTTTTCTTAAGCCGCTGTTATACAAAAAGACTGATAGGAACAATAGTGATATTTAACAAACAAGCTGTGTGTGATTCTCCTCTTTCTAATCGGGTAGTTTTGGCATCAGTTAGTTAGAAACATTCAGTCCCTTTTTACAGTGGACTTTTCAGTGAAATGGCAAAACTGCTTTCCTTGTTAATCGGAGAATTTTGAAACAGGCGCTATGACTTGCAGGCGCGACATTTTGTCTAAGGTAGCAGTTTAAAAGACTTAAAAAAGATTATTTTGAGGCCTTTTCTGGTGTTGAGTGTGCCTGACTTGTGGAGAACATAATGAAGATTGTTCAGCACCTTAGCGATCACCCGTTCAGCAGCGCTGCTTGGAAGTGGTGAGTAGCGTGCTTGAAACTCAAGAGTCCACCTACCTTGTATGTTAGGAGTAAACTTTTTTTTAGTTTAAAAGCGGTGTAGGATTCCTTAAAGGGATGCTGCAATCATGGAATAATTCTGTGGTTCAAAAAATTCGAGGCAAAAGCTAGGCAGGTTGCGTTGCTAAATACCTTTCTTGGTTCCAGGCGGGAAGAAAGGGCTGCTTCTCTTTGAAGCCCACTTTATTGCAAGGATACAAGCCCTTGCTGGGCGAGCAAGACTCTGAAATGGCAGAGCACTGTCAGAGTGGCCTTTTGCTTTGAGGGAGGCATTTTTTCAGCAATTAAAAAATAAATCCCCAAAGAATAGCACTGAGTTTCTATTCAGCATTTTTCTTTTGACATAAGACTTTTGAACTGAGAGTATATTAAAACACCTTCCTATGGATTGCCCCTTTCACCTGTGCTCCGTCATTCTACAAGGAGGCATTCAGTAGCACAGAAACTGCCTGTTGGGGAGAGCAGCAGAAGGCAAGATCAAGCTTGCTTCCTGGATTCAAAACTGGGTTTGTTATTGCTGCAGCTTTTGGTTGCTGTTGTGTCCTGCTCTTGCTCTACGGAGCAGCAGCAGTCCCTCCACGGTCCATGAAGATTCAAATGATATGCCTAGGGACATCCTGTGAGGGTTGGGCAGTAGTACTCGTAAAGCACTTGCTGCGAATCTTCCCACACACATCCATGAGGCCGCACGTCTGGCCTCATTAAGGTGCAGAGCTAAATTGTGCACAAACTCGTTTCACTGTGTGTTTTCCTTGCCACAAGTGGACGTGCCGTTGGACATCCAACCCATCAAGCATTGGCCAAGTATCGATGAAATGTTTTTAAAGCTTTAACTCCATTGGCACAACAAACAAAATACTTTATCGTAGTCAAGGTTTGATACGTATAATAAATGACAAAACCCGACTTCATAAGCTTGTGAGTTTACTGTAAACGTTTACCAACATGCGTTAAGGATTCTGGAAACTGCAGTGCTTTGCCAGGCCATTTTTTCTTTGATTTGTGTACTGGCATATCTGTTAAAAAAATAAATAAATAAGGAAACGGGAACAGAAATTAAGCAAAGTAACTGTGACTGCTCAAAATCGACGAGTCAGTGACCTGAATCGCACAGAGCCACAGCCCAGAATATGGGCCAGATATGGGATGCTCTTGTGATGCAGAGCAACCGAGTAAGAGCGGCACATGGGTGGGTTGGGAGAGGGTTCTGCTGGGCTGAATCTTGCAGTGGGGTTTCCACATTCTGCGCGTGTGCAGGAGCACCTGTCTGGGCTCTGCTCGTCTGCCAGCGGTTGCCCAGTGCAGGCGTTCAGTCCCGTTCTTCCAAATGCAGAGCCCTGCAGTCCAGGGCCACCTAGCAACTCTCTGCTCCGTGGGCAGCCAGGCAGGGAGTGGGAAATGGTTCTGCTTGTACTGGTGAGAGCTCAGCGAGCACCTGTATGTGACAGTGGCCCTTTCCTTGGCAGACAGGCACTCCGTCTCACAGGGTTCTGCCAGCTTGCCCCTCGGGGCACTGCTGCCGAAGTGGCGTTCCTCTCCTAGTCCGGGGTGGACCCTCCGCCCTCTCCCCACACTCCTCAGGGTGGCTTGCCTCTGAAAGCAGTGGCTCTCCCTCTGAGGGGGATTCCTCCAGCAGCACCCTGATGAAGGGAGAGGTCCGTTCCCCTGTCCGCTCCTGCTCATACTTTACAGTAAAAGCCCCACAACAGGAGGGTAAAGGCCCCACTTTCCGAGGCCTCAGCAACAGGTCCAGTTCTGCCCCCGAGACGTGTTTGTGCCCTATCTAGCTGGGTCCTAAACTCTGTTCCCAAAGCGACCCTAAATGATGGCTTACATTCTGTGGCCACTCCTCTCCTGCATTGTATGGCAGAGGTTGGGAAGATCTCGTGAGCAGCCTCCTGAATTGAACCGAAAGGGCTGCCTCAGGTCCTCTGCATCGCCAAGGGGTTGCAGAGCAAACCTGCAGGTGGCTGATCGGGAATGTGTGGGGGCTTCCTGCGAATGGGAATTTTTTAAAAGCCGTGGTTCCTAAGCAAATGATCTTGTGAATGGCACCCTCCGTGTTGACATCCAAGTTGTCTTGCGTGTGATGCTTTCTGAATGGTTCTGGTCTGACAGGCCAGAAGAGGAAATCTAAAGTAGGATTTAACACTGAAAACTTCCCCCATTGCAGCAGAATAGGGAGTGGAGTGGAAAACAAACACACATCATCGTCCTTGTTGCACAATATTTGAACTTTTCAAAATGCCACTATAAACTTCATCGATCTGCAGAATTCGTCTCACTTCTGGCTCTGAGCAGAATCAGAATCATAAAAGTTTTCCCTGGAACATACCAGCTCATCTTGCCAGGGAGGGATTCCATGTTTACATTTTCCCCTGGGAAACCAACTCCTTGCAGAGTGTGTCAAGGTGAAGGCTGCCCTGGACATTTCCCCTCATTGTACTTGCTTTACCTGGCCGAGGAGTAGTTGTTGGAGGGTTTTTGGATGCCAGATGGTGGTAATTTAAACATATGTGACCTGCTGCTACAGCACTGCATTCTCAAAAAGGTTGACTTCTTAATTCGGATAAATGCATAAAAAACTAGGCAAGATGCTTTCACTAGGTGTGTTAACTTGTCAGTCTCAAAACTTAACAGCTGTTCTCCTGGCTTCTGCGTTTGCAGGCACATACAGGACCCAGCAAGCCAGCGGTTGACATGGAACAAACCTCCAAAGAGTGTCCTTGTTATTAAAAAAATCCGGGACGTCAGCCTTCTGCAGCCCTTCAAAGACCTCTGCATTTATCTCACAGAGGTAAGCAGGAATCGCAGCCTTGAGAAGTTTTCCAAGGGCTTTCCAAGAATCACAGTGTTTCCCTTTAGAAAAAAACAAGTGTCTAGAACTTTTGGCTGCAAGAGTATCTGAAAGGTCGCAGGGGGTGCCAAAAAAAGCTTTTGGGGCTCATTCTTTCCTCCCATGATTAATGAAAACAGAAGAAACTGTGTGGAAGGGAGAAATTTTACATAGTTGTTTAACTTGCATATTTGTTTCCTGTTGAACTATTGGAGGCTTTCTCTAATTCATGTGTGGAGCCGTAGCTTGGTAGTTGTAGCAACAAGAATCTCCACTGCGTGTGTGAGTGGGCTGGATAAGAATGGGGGGGAGCCGTTCTACCCCCTGTGCCTTGTGGAATCCAAGTAGGTTTTCAGAGGAAGGAAGCCCTCTCTTCAGAGTCTAGCAGTGGGCTTTTGGAAGACTGCTCTTCCAGCCCGCAGCAGACTGTGGAACATTTGTTTTGGCAGATTAGTAACTTTTATGGACTTCTTAAAGGCTGGACATCCAGAGCAAAGATTGGTATGGGATTCTAGATGAGTTGGGTTGGAGAACCATCATGTGGTCCTTCGGGTTCCTCATTGCTTCATGAAAGTGCAGTACGGTCTTTCATGAGATCTTCATGGGTGTTTGGCCCTCGGGCCTCTTCCTGTTTCGTTATGGTACTGCAAGGTGTTCCGGTGTCTTCCTCTTCAGGTGAACAACATGATTGTTTATGTAGAAAAAAAAGTTCTGGAAGACCCATCCATCATGAGTGATGATAGTTTTGGACCAGTGAAGAAGAAATTTTGCACTTTCAGGGAAGGTAAGAACCAAGGGCCTGTCTGGATCTTAAATCTCTCTGCTGGAAGAGGGGTGCTCCTGGCCAGGTCCAAAAGAAAGGACCGCCATGCGCTTTGAAGGATGCCCACCTTCATTCTAACTGCAGGTCCGTGCTGCAGTCACTCAGTGGGGCAGAAGCACATATGTGTAAGCACGCTTCGCTTTGAAAATATCCTGTTTCTTAAGAGGTACAGCCAGAGATGTTAGGAGTGGTATTGCATGGACACGGTTGCCAGAGAGAAACAGCCAGAAGGCCCCTGCAATAGGTCTCTTTTTTTCTAGTTATACCACTGCCGATTAAATTGCTAGAACTCAAATTTAAAGGGACTGCTCTTTTCTGTTTGCTTTGAATTTCTTCCTTAGACTATGATGATATCTCCAATCAGATAGACTTTATCATCTGCCTGGGAGGAGATGGGACCTTGCTTTACGCTTCTTCACTTTTTCCGGTGAGCTTGTTGTCCTTGTCCAAGATCTCGATAGCAGGTCTATTTACTGCCAGAGGCTGGAGTGCTTTTGGCACTCATTTGGGGGTGTTTTCATTTTGCCCTGCGCTAACCGTTGTTTTATTTGTTCTGTTTCTGCCCTGGCCTGGGAAACAGGGATTTAAATATAAAATGTGGTGCGAAGTTTGTGATAAAATGAGCAGTTAATTTTTTAAAAAAATTAACATATTCAGGGGGAAAGACACACACAGGTAAAAACAAGCAGATGCACCCGACTCAGGCTTGTCCATGTGCCTTCAAAGTGCAAGGTTTGCTTGGGCTCTGCAAAGTCGACCTTTATTTTTCCTCTTAGGCCACGCTAGATGAGGGTGAGTCGGTGAGATGAGCCAGGGGCAGCGGGTGTGGGCTGGTGGCATTTGTCGGCCGATTTGCAGGGCTGATGAAACCGGTGGCGCTTCTTTGGCCCGTATCATTTAGGACTGGATTGTCAAATGAAACACGCCTCGGCCCTTTTGCCAAGACGGCATAGGAGAATGGGCAAAGAGTGCGACTTGTGCAGTGTCGGGGCAATTTTGAACACCGCCCTCTTCTTACCCACAGGGCAGTGTGCCTCCGGTTATGGCTTTCCATTTGGGTTCGCTAGGTTTTCTGACCCCCTTCAATTTTGAGAACTTTCAAGCTCAAGTCACGCAGGTTATTGAAGGTAAGCGTCTACACCAAGCCACGGACTGTCACGGCCTCCCGCAAAGATACCTTAATTCTGGCATTTGATTAGCGGAACAAAAGCCAGAGGTATCTATTCTAGCAGGGTTTCCTTCCACTGTCCCCAGTCCCTCCCCAGCTCCCTCTGGACCTAGGAAAGGTTCCTCTCGCTACTATGCCAGACACGCTCTCAGTTTTATTTATTCATGTGTGCTCCATTTTGTATCCTGTCTTTCTGTATACAGAAAGTTCATGATCACTTTTTATGGGTAATTCAGTAAAGCATAATCAGGCAGCCGAAATTAACACCGAGAAGCAAATGGCAGCAGATTAAAGCCTCTTCAGAGGATCGTTTAATTAAGTGTAATGTAGCCTGCACCACCCATTTGGCTTGGGGTTGGCAGTTCAGGGCATCTGCTGTGGTTTCTACCCCTGCAGGTGGCTGCTTGAGAGAGCCCAAAGTTAAAATAGACTGGCATCTTTAGCCTGGCCCCCCTGCCTGTGGCCCCACCCAGCCTGCCCTGAATTTGGTTCTTGCACTGGAAGAAGCATTAATCAGCCCTGACTTAAGAAAGGCCTGTTTGTTTATTATTAGATGGGTTTGTTAGATTTACATCCCGTTTTTTCCTGAGGCACTCAAAGCGACTGCAAACGTTTCCCTCCTCCTGTGCTCCGTCTTATCCCCACAACAGCAACCCCGTGTGGTGGCTGGGCAGTGTTTAACGCTGTACTGTTACTGCTGCGCCTTGTAGGTAATGCCGCCCTTGTCCTTCGAAGCAGGCTTAAGGTGAAAGTTGTCAAGGAGCACAGAGAGAAGAAGCCGATGATTCAGAACGGGATCGAGGAAAACGGAGTGATGTCACCAAGTCTGGAGAAAGACATTTTCAAGCAGGCCATCCAGTATCAGGTGGGTGGCTGGCGGGGTGGGATGGCCAACACTTGGTTTTCATTCCTCTTTAAACAAGCTTGTTTTCAATGACCTGGACTATTTATTGGCATGAATTCAAACGGAAGATTTTTCTCCCTTCCTGTATTTCCCAGCAATAGATAGATCTGATAGGAAATGTAGCATTGAAAGGGAGGGGAAGGAGAAATGAACGAAGTGCTTGTAACAATGGAAGGAGAAACGAGTGTCCCTTTTAAACTCTTTTGACTGCTTTTCGATGTGACTCACAAACAGTAAACCATCCAGTTAGATGACCCATTATCAGCAATCTCATGGAGTGCTTTCTGTTTCTTTGCTCCTTATGCAAATTTTGAATTTGGTACCATATTTCCTGTTCAAAGGTCCTGAACGAAGTTGTGGTGGACCGAGGGCCTTCGTCATACCTTTCCAACGTGGATGTCTTTCTCGACGGGCATCTCATAACCACGGTGCAAGGAGACGGTATGTCCGTTTTTGTTTGCAAGAGAGCAGAGACGAATGAAGAGAGCGGGGTGTTTTGCCTTAAAAGACAACTGAGATGAAGCAGGCCAAGGGGCTCCTTGAACGACTTCAGGCTTTCTATAGAATAGTAAAGATGCCGCAGACAAGTCTTTGCAGGGCCCTCGAGCATTTGTTGGAAGCGGCCTGTGCAGACTTATCCGTAACAAGCCAGTCCCTTGGCCCGTTGTGCTGTTTCTTCTGACTGGCAGCAGCTCTGACGGACGGTTTCAGGCAGGGGTGTTCCTTATCTCTTTGGAAACACATGTGGGTTTGCACCTGGCACTTTCCGGGCAGTAAAGCAGATTTTTTGCTGCTGAGGCTTCAGGCCGCCTCTCCCTGCGGCTCTTCCAAGCAGATGGCAGGCATTAGCCTAGTCCTTCCAACAGCTCCACAACCTTGGTCAGTATTTTATCTCCGCCTTCCGTATACAGAGGACGGTCATGTTGTTGCTCAGGTCATTTGGCAGCAGGGCTGAGATTCAAGCCAACAGCGTCATTGTTCGCTAGCTCTCCTGTGTCCTGGACATTTTACTGTTCAGCTTGACTCCTCGGGGCCTTGCTTGCAGCTTGGAATTCCGTCTCCTGAGGCATTCAACCCCACTGCCTGCCTGGGGGCTGGCTGTGTACACCTAAGGAGAGCTGCTGACTCACTGGGTCGCCTTGGGTAACTGCCCCCCCCCCCAGCACTGGTGCCACACCTGAATCCCGGGAGAAGCGGGAAGCCTTGCTTCGCCAGTATAAGGCAGGCAGCCACCAGGTGTGAGCTAGCAAGCCACTCCGCCCGCCCACCACAGCGCCTCTACTCACAGTTCTGGGCTAGCAGCAAATCCCGGAGATGCTCACACGGCTCTTGCGTCATGAAGCGGGGCTCCACGGGGCGTGGCCTGCAGGTGGCAAGGCTGTGACCGTAGCTGGGCCGCCTCTCCCCACCCAGGCGTCATCGTCTCCACTCCGACCGGGAGCACGGCGTACGCGGCGGCGGCAGGCGCGTCGATGATCCACCCCAACGTCCCCGCCATCATGATCACCCCCATCTGCCCTCACTCGCTGTCCTTCCGGCCCATCGTCGTTCCAGCGGGAGTGGAACTGAAGGTGTGTCCTTAGGGTGCTTTCCTCTAAAATAGAACGTATAATCTCCCCTCCCTCCCTCCCTCGTGCATGCCCACAGAGAGAAAAGTAATCCATGTATTATGTAACTAAAGAGAGCACCTCTGCCCCCAAACAGGAAAATTGCACCTTTCTTAAGTAACTTTCCAAAACATGTTGAAATTCTGGAGAGTTCAAATTCAAGTAAAGCAATTAAAGGCTTAACTGGAAAGGCTTCCAGGCACCGGTCAGCCTCTTCCCCCGCCCTTCTCAAGGGTGCCGTTTGAAGCCAGCCAACGCCCCTCCCCCAAACAAAGGGTCCTGCCGGATCCAAGCAGAGGCCTGTTTCCCCACCCTCTGGTTCCCGCATCGGCCGGCTCACAAGCAGGCCATCTGGGCAGCCGCGGCCTCCACCCACGTTCCGTAGCAAGTGATCTACAGAGGCGTGCTGCCTCTGAGAGCAGGGGTGACGCCTAGCCCACTGTGGCTAGTAGCCATTCTTCCTGTACTTGCCACAGAAGCCTTCCTGTCGTAAGCGAAAGCTGTGAGGCCTGGGAACTCCTCTGCTCTTCTCCCTCTCCAGATCATGCTGTCCCCCGATGCCAGGAACACGGCGTGGGTTTCGTTTGATGGCCGGAAGAGGCAGGAGATCTGCCATGGGGACAGGTGAGGTCCTTTGCCTGGGCATCCCGCTTGGAATCCTGGAGAGCTTCCAGTTGTCTTCACTGATGCAGAGCTGATGTGAAAGAACAGTTAAGGTCTACTGCCAAAAAGTCTCCCCCCCCCCAAAAAAAAACCCAAGTTCTGCATTTTCAACAATCCATCGCATTTTAGGGCAACCAGTCCCCAAAACCGACAGAAATGTCCATGAGCGGGCTCAGATCTGGGAAGACCAACCTCTGCCTGCAAATTCTCGCCACTTCTGTCCTCTGTTGTTCCCACATGTACATATTTCTGGCTGTGGCCACTTCGAAAAGCAGTAGATTCCGCACACAAGCACCTTTACCTGAGGGACGAGAGACGCCAGTTATGGAAATACCCGTAGCTCTCCATCCCTCACTTGCCCATCTGCACAGTGGACTTTTAAACAGGTGTCTTCTCCTGTTCTTAATGTTCTTCGGCAGTTCAGTCCAGTCTTGTCCAGCCCGGGGCTCTCCAGATACGCTGGGCTAAAGCCCCCCCAGGCAGCCTGTAAGGGAGACCAGGTTTAACATTGCAGTTCCTTCTTGGGTTCGTGTGCTGTGTCTGAGAGCATCATAACTGGATGAAAGCCCCATCCAGCCAAAGGGGGAATCACAGCCCGGCCTTCCAACACCTTGCTAGCTTTCAAGGACCGAGTCGTATTGGTTGGATCCCTACTAACTGAAGGCGCGCTCTTTCTGTTTCTTGCAGTATCAGCATCACTACCTCTTGTTACCCTCTCCCTTCGATCTGTTTCCAAGACCCTGTGAGTGACTGGTTCGAAAGCCTGGCCGAGTGTTTGCACTGGAACGTTCGGAAGAAGCAAAATAATTTTGCTGTTGATGAGGAGGAAGAGTTCTGAGCACTGGTGCTCGTGAAAACTCATGGGAAGAGCTAACACGTGGCTCTTCCATTTGTGTACAAATGTATTTTAAGGCTGTAACTACTGGGACTAGACCAAGATAATATATATATTATAATTTTTTTAAGACAGCAGTGTACCTCATATCCGTCTGTTTTGCTGATGACCAGAGATCATGTTATTTTTCTGTCGTGTCGGGAGGACTTGAGATGAGACTTGTAAGAGGCAGAGGATTTCTTTTTTGGTCAGGCAAAGAGAAATGTTTGTTTGTAAATGTATGATGCATTTTCTGAACAATGTTTTCTAATAAGTTTTGCAGAAGCCTTATTAAAAAGAATGACATTTTCTTGGACTTGTCCCCAGTGATAGCAAATCTACCTGTTTTCTTACTAGCCACACTTTCTGTGGATCAAGCAAATATTTTTTCATCCGGCACTGGTCATATTTGCACCTGCAACGGAGACTCTCGAACTGAGGAAAACCAATGGTTCGTTTCCAGCGTGCGGTTTATTTTTGTCTTCAATGTAAAAGACGGGCGTTTTGATGGCTGCTTAGATTTTTTTCCTGTCGTTCTTTTAAGAACCTTTTCACTCTTGTCAATGACATTTTTGGGCTAATTTCATTACATCTCCTTGATGGTAGTCAAAATGAGCTGGACTTTTTAAAAGAGCTCTGGCATTTCAGATAATCATCTGGATGTATGGACATTAAGAATGTTCAGGCAAGGGTGACTGTTCCATTACGTTGTAAAGATACTGGAGTGTTTTTGAGTGTTGGCTGAATTTGAAGATGCAGCCGCACGTAGGGGAATAGGGAGTTTTGTGAATGTCGTCTTGTGTGAACGCTGCGGGAAATGATAAGGAACATGCAACAGGGAACCCATGATCTTGTAAGAGCCTCTTGCCCAGGTGATACTTTTAGTGAATTGTACTTTTAGTGAATTGAGAGAGAGTTGCCAGCAAGTTTTGGCAGCACAAATTTTGGGTGCTGCTTTAAGCAGATTGCAGCATTCAGAGCAGAATTTTTGGGGAGCGGGGGGCACTCAGGAGTGCCATCTCTAAGAGCCCTCCTAGTCCCGAGGACTCCTGCAAGATCTCTTCCAGAATGTTTCCAGTTTGGCTTCTGCTTGCAGATATTTTTTCCGGCTTGCTCAGCCAAGCATGTTAGAACAATGGTGTTCCCAGCAGAACTAGCAAGATGGGGAAGTTCTGGCATCATTGCTGTCCTATGTTCTGGGGTGGGGGGCACGTAACAACATATTGTTCTGGAGCTCATGTGTCCCCCCCCCCCTTCTAGTGAGGCTGTTTTTCTGCATCGTTAAAATGCAAGACAAGAAGCGTGTTCGTGATCCAACTGGTGGGGCCTTCTGTTGCCTCCCCTTTGGGAATACCGGCCAGCCTGGTGGTTTCTTCTGAACCACGGAGCAGAAGGACAGCTGCTTGGGATGGGACCCCACGAAAGTCCTCTAAGCTGCTGGGAAGCTCATGGGTCTGGAATGGGCCTGCTGTTACCAGTGCCCAATCAAGACAGTAGACGAGTGTCTGCTTAAAAAGACGAGGCGACTTTCCTAGCTGAATCACTGTGGTATCTTCAACACACTGTGTGTATGTTTGTGTGTGGGTTTTTTGTTTGTTTGTTTTAGATCCTGCCTTTTTAATGCTTCTGTATTACAGATTGACATATTTTTAACCCCCTGGCTTGTGTGAAGGCAAATAAAAAGAGGATTGTTCAAGGAAAGGGCATCTGTCCAACCCCCTCCCTTTTGCGGGAGGTAAGATTCTGCTCCTCTGTGACTCGGTCTTGGTTCTTCACTTGCAGTGGGCTGAGCTTGTGGGATTACTTTACGTGGACTGAGCGACTTCAGATGAATTGTAGGGGATTCCAGTCTTGAATCCTTCCCTCACATTAAAAACAAAAAAACCATCATAAAGGAAACAGATATAAAAGGGGAAAGTTGGCGATCTCTCTCTGTTCTAGTGTTTTTCTATCGGAAAGGAGTTATGTTGTTGTTCTGCTTCCCATTTATTTGAAGGGGGAATATTCAAAAGTGTCATCTCTTAGGTTCATTCTGAAGTGGAACAGTCCATCCTAGAATCCAGTCTTGACTGTACCACTTCACTCTCCTGCTTCTGTGTAGACCAAGGCTTTGACTTTTACATCTATGTAGTTTGTGTGATCAGCTTTCCCTGCTCCCCACAGTTTGCCTCACAAACATCCCGAGATCTTTTTCACCAGAACACGTTTTTTTCAGCCCACACTTGATGGAAAGGAAGGACAGGCACTGACGGCAGTTCGGATACCCTAAATAAATCAAATAGAACGTGGTCCGTGTTTTGTAGCTGTCTCAATGTCAGGGAAACAGCGTGTGTAAATCCCCACCACAGCCTTGTTGATGTTGCCCTCGTGTGTCCTGTTTTAAACAGAGCATGTGTTCTGCTCTCAACTGCAGCCGTGTCTACGGCACTAAAACCTGTGCAGGTGTGTAAATGTATTTGTGTAAAAGCGGCTCTTGTAAATACTTTGTGTACCAGCGTAGGGGGTTTATTTGACAGCTCTTGAAGTTCAGTCCGAACGAGCAAAAGCTTGGCAGTCCCACTTCCCCCTTCCCTGTGCAAGGATGCTTGGACAACTGTTTTGCTACTCAAATTCTCTGTTAAGGTTTTGTGTTATCACTGTTTTGAAAGCGACGAGTTTTCCAGCTGGCAGGAGTATTGTTTGTGAACTGCAGTCCTAATTCCCTTGCTGCAGAGATGCAAACTTTACAGCTTTGTAAAGAAGTCCACAAAATTACTAACCTGCAAAAATATTCTACTGGCCTGCTGGAAAGTGTCTGATGTGGGGGAAAAAAGCTGAATTTTTATGCTGGCTCTGGAGGAGTTTTTACTCCTCCAGCAGTCTGCTTGATTCCTACACAGAGCAGAGACGGGCAGCAAAATGCTCTCTCTCTCTCCACCCTTAAGTACCATAATTAAGGAATGGGATGGGGTAAAAAGTGTTAATGTTAATTAACACTTATTAGTGTTAATATGAAGTATTCAAGTGGGTGGGAGATTAGTAGAACAAGCAAAAATCTCTCACAGATGAGATGACAAGATCAAGTGAGCTTTACTGAGACGATTCAGAAGTTTTCTTATTCAAAACTGCTCCTTCCACCCTTCAAGATATTCTACAGTTTTCTGAGCTAAGAATGTTTTTTAGGATACAAAGAAATGATGATTCATGGAAAGGAAGGTTTTAAATCAGGTTTTCCTACAGGATCGTGCAGTGACTTCTCCTCAGCCGATTCCGTTCTAGTGTTTCTCTTGACATGTCGGAGGCCTGGATGAAATGCCCCAAAGCAGTAGCAGACTGGAAGAACGGGCACATCTCATCACCCTGTCCTGGGTGCCTCTAGCTCTGGAAGATGCAGCGTATCATCTTGATAGCTGGTCTTCCCGGGTCAAAGGCCGCCTCCCGTCCTTACGCCTTGACGCAAAGGACCGTTTCGGGCCCCAGTGCCAGGACAAAGGGCAGCGCTCCAGGCTCGTGCCCTCCGGTTTGCGTTCAGGTGCTGAGCCCGCAGCCCTGCCCAGCCTTGCTCTCTCCTGCTGCTTTTCCACCCAGCAGTTCACCGGAAGGAAGCTTAGTCTCGGCTTGTGAACTGCTTTCCACCGAGTGTCAGAGGTTGCCACCAGACAACCCAGGGAAGCCCATAGTGAAATGTGAACATCCGTGCAGCAGCTGCCCCTGTGCCTTCCCAGTCAGCCCTTGCCAGCTCTGGGGTGGTACAAGAGTCCTGCTTGGTGTATCAAGTAAGAGAAAGGGGGTGAACGGGAGGATTAAAGTGACGCAAACACAAGGCATAGCCATTTGCAGGCAGGTTCTGTTCCAGGCTGAGCTCGGCACGCCTTTACACGATGCAGCAGAGTTGGTGTCCTGCACCTTCGTCGTCACTCCCTGGACGTTCTCGTCCCTTCTGCTAAATTGAGGGCCTTGGATTTCAGCCGGTTCACGTCATCGGAAGTTCAATGTGTGACTTAATGGCAGAATGAGGAGCTTCCCTGGAAGTTACTCCTTGGGAGGCTGACTGCCAAGTTCTTGCTTCCAGCATCCCCAGGCCCAGCCTCAGTCCTTTCTGGTTACGGTGCATCCCGGGTGGATGCAAGAGAGAGAGGGCTCGGGGTGATGGTGGCAGAAAGTATGTTTGGGTAAAGAACTTGGTAATTCTGCGGGCTGTGCCATGGTGTATCAGAGAAATCGCTGGTCAGCCTTTTTCTTCCAATGTGGTGAGTCTTTGTTGTTTTACTGAAACTCGTCCCTGCCCTGAATTCTGATGTTTATAAAGTCTAATGTTTCCTATTGTGGATGCTTTGAAAACTTGCTAAACACTGCAGAGAGCCTATGACTATTTTCCAGATCTTTTCAATAAATCTTTCTCTTTTTCCAAGGTTGGTGTCATGCAGCCACAGGGTTTTATTTCATTCTATTTGGTGCTGCAGGGGAAAACGTGCGCGCAGGCCATCCAAAGGGCATCGGGACAGTGTGACTTGAGGTGTTCAGCCCACAGGCAGGAGGAACGGGGCTCTTCTCACTGAACTGAAGGGAGTCAGTGCTAGTAAAAAGAATGCAAGACTTGGGCAAGTGACAGTCCCTGCCTGGACGGGCAGTGTAGTGCATTCAGACTACAATTCCCATCAGCTCCAGCCATGTGGCTAATGAGACCCAACTGGGGCCTCTGGCATTCCCCTAATGGCTACACCCCACCTGGCCGGCCCAAGGCAGCTTTCCCCTTTCCTAAAATACCTTTTCTGAGGATTAGCTACTGGCAGCAACCTGCTGGTTTGTGTTATATCTTTGCTCTTTCCTTTGGCCCCCTTTATGGCCGGATGCCACCTGCCGGATCGTCTTTAACATTCTATTCTGTGCTCAGGTAGAAGGGGGTTTCCCACCCCTGGTCTAGCCAACCTTGCCCGACTTGGTGGCCTCCAGCCGGCTGGGGGACAGGAGAGAGGTGAGCGGAAGCAGAAAGCAAAATGGGGATGGGGGTAGAAATATTGATCCTCCCCCAACCTAAAAACCAAAGGTTATCATTCCAAGAGGCACAGTGTGAATTTCGCACACACCTGCCATGAGGCTGCATCCAAAGAGCTGCCGCTATTTGAGATCATCCCGCTTGAATGTGATCGAAGAGGGAGTTGTTGCAGCAAAGTAAATAAGTGAGAGGTTTGGAAAGGTATCTTTAAATAAATTGTGCAATCCTTTCTGCAGATCTACTGGGCCAGGGAAGGGAGGAGACTTATGTAACCTGATGGCTTTTGTGAGGAGGCAGTTGCCACAGATGAATGTGTATTGAGTAAGTCTTACAGTTCTCCAGGCAATTAAGAAAGTAGAGAGGGGGAGCACACTGCATTTCCCAGATATGAAAATGCCAGCTGCCTTGGAAAATTATTCCTCTGCTTGTCCATGTAGCTTTGGAATACAGGCATCATCTCTTTGGTGTGAGCTTTATAAATACATTGCCTGAGATCAGCATTTTTGAAATCGGAAAGAAAGACAGATTCCAGCTGGTGGCATTGGCACTTTATTGAAAAATACAAGGCCGGTAACAAACCTCTTCTTAAGAAATGAACAGATTACAGTATTAAATGTTTCCTTAAAAAAAAACGCACTCAGCTGTGAAAGTGTTTTAGTTAAGACATTCACATAGCAGGGACTTGGTTATTTTGAAAGAATAGGACCAAAATTTTTTAAAAAAACAAAACTTTGGAGGCTGTGGTTTTTCTAACGTAAGAAATTATTTGGACTTAGCAAGAAGGCAGCCATGCTCATTCAAACACAAGCGACTTGTAGCTTCAGCTGAGACATTGACCACATGACTGACAGTGAGCTGAAGTTCAGAGGGGAGCAATGCCCAGATCCGTGTTTCCAAACTCGGGGGCAAAGGTACAGCCCTTAGCTCTGTGGAGCATATCAGGGTGGCCTTCTGCAGTCTTGCTCTGCCAATCAAAAGCAAACAAGGTTCTGTGCTATGGAATGATGGTAAACAGTCCTCTGTGGTTAAGCAGCCTTGGTGGGGAGAGACGAGACCAGACGTCCAAAGGCATACTGGCCTGGAGAAAAGCTAGGATTTACATCAGGGTAGGGGGCCACTGGAGAGGTGGGTGTGGGGTTGGGTGTACTTTAGGGGATGGTGGAGGACAGGAGAACCTGGAGGAATGTTGTCCATGGGGTTGCGAAGAGTCGGGCACGACTTTGCGACTGAACAACGACCAAGGGGGGCTACCAGGCCAGCAGCCCCCAGCAAGACTGGCACCAGCATTCGCTCTTCGTGCAACCCCACACATTTTGTGAAATGGATTCTCCCTCGACTGCCTTGCATCTAGTGCCCCCTGAATTCATTCAGCCCATCCTTTAGCCATCATTGTAGGCAGAAGATAGTTCTCCAGATTCTTGAGACTTCAGGAAGAGCCCTATCCACATGGACAATGGTCAGGGGAGCTGAAGTCTGAAATACATGGAGATCTACTTTCTGCCTGCCCCAGTGAAGATCTTGACAGGTCTTGGATCAGGAGGTGGGGGACCTCTATTTTGCAGGGAAAGCATTTTTCCTTGTCCCCACTGTTTATTTCTAAGAAGCCAACCACTGTCTTACATGTCCCTCCTCTCTCCATTCTCCTGGAAGTTGGGGTGTGAGAATTATGAGGTAAAACTTGAAAGAGCCGGCGCTGCTGCTGGCCATTGTCTCTTTGGCCCTTTCCACCAAAAAGGCAGGATCAGAAGCAAAAGTGCGAGGTGAGTGAAAAGGGATACCCTACAAATGTGAAGGTATGTATTATTCAGTGCCCTGTTGGAACTTAGGCAGGCCTTTAGGGATGCCAGGAATTAGGAATATGGAAAATAGCCAGGGTTCAGTGTAGGACAAAGAGGTCCCTGTTCCTTCCGCAGTTTGATCAGTGCTTCAAACAACAACTGGGCAGAGATGAATGCCAGGCAAATTGGGCTTGCAGCCACAAAAGTTCACGGAGTTTCACGGTTCTGTTTAGGAGTCCCGAATCTGAACACATGACGCTATAAAGGGACTGGCATCTTAAAACAGATACCCTTTTTCCCTGACCAAGAGCGAGGCGAGGAGGAAGAAAGCAGTGTCTCCTGGCTGGTCAAGGATGGCGCTTTTGACCATGCAAGATCACAAAAGAAGGTTCCCACTCCCAAGCCAAGCAGCTGAATTTCAAGTCAACGGGGACCACTGTTGTCTCAGGCTAGCAGGCTCAAAATGCCCATGCGGGATTAATTCACGTGCAGGATTAAGGTAAAACAAGAGAGAGAGCAGAAAATCTGTTATGAGCGGCACCCCATGCCAAGAAGGCATCACAAGCAGCTGTTTTGAAGACAAGACGATAGAAGAAGTGTTAGCAATCCTTAAAAAAAAAAGCTAACAGGAACTGTCTGGCTAGTTAATGAGGTTACAAGAATGCACTGCTTGGCTGAGCGTTCTTACCCAGACAGAGCCCCAACTACAAGCCTCAAACACGGAGGGCTGGACAAGCATCTCCTGCATGAGCATCACAGTCGAGCCCCTCTGGCCGGTATCTCCCCTTCAGTCTCACTTTCCCAAGTCAAGGGACAGGGAGCAATCTCCCAAGCATATTTCCACTCTATAAGAGCACCGCTTCAGACCTGGCGAGGGGAATCCACTTCATGAATCGATCCTTCCATAGGAAGAAAACACTGCGTGAAAAGAAGATGGAAAGAGGAACATTAAGTAAAATGAATCACTGCTTCATTCCATTATTTTTAAGCGGTGTTAAGCTAGAGAGCTGTTTGGAATTCCCACTGCAAATTCACGCCACTCTGATGCTAGGAGGTGTAGCTGATTGGTTGGCCTATCGGAAGTTAGTGGATTCCTGATTGGGTGGCCTATCGGAAGTTAGTGTGATTCCTGATTGGTTGGCCTACCAGAAGTGACTGCAAAACCTCTGCCATTCTGAGGACCACCATGCCGTGACTAAATTCTGCTGCAAATGTGAATTGTCCTGCTGTGTTCATATTCCTCCCACTTTGCCCAGCCAGATGGTTCGGCACAGTCCATCCACAGGCTATTTCTACCCTGTCCCGGTCCTGTAGGCTTCACTGTGTGTGATTCCACTTTCCCATTTTGGGTTTTGCTGGTACAGCCACATGAAATCTGCTGGCTTATTGCCTTAAATACTCACTCCTTTCTCTCAGCCCTTGCCCAAAGCTGCGGTAGACGTGAAACAAAGCCCAGAACAGCACGCTTTTGATCATCACGGAGATGCACGAACAGGTGATGACAGCAGCTTCCAGTGCGTAAGAATTCCCTTGGCCCCAATCCTTTATGACCTGAGGGTTGGGAAAGAGAAAAACTCACATTAGACATGGAAGGAGAAACTGGACTTCTCCAGTGGTCTCAACGTGAGATTCGAGGAAAACCTGATGTGCATTCAAGAGAAATGATGCTTGAAGAAAGACAGAGCCTGGTTTCCATGTAATAAGTACATACAAACAGTCAATACAAAGAGGGCTCCGGAAAGCAGTTGGTTTAACGACGGGGGAACACGACGTGGTTACTTAGGGTGGTGTAGGCTTGGACTAGGACTGGGAGGCCTTGGGGTCAAATTCTCAGCTATGAAGCAGTCACCCTTCCTTTGTCTAAGCCATCCCACGGCGTGGTTGTGAGGATGAAATGGCATTGTAAAACACTGAAAGATTTGGTCCCCCACTCTGCATCGTGCACCAATTTGCTCAAATTTTGTGAACCATCCAGAGAGCCATGCAGCTAATGTGACGGTCCATAAAAGCACACATAAATAAATATTTGCAGGCTGGAGGCTGGACTGCTGAGCACACATAGGAAAAAAACGGGTGGACTGCAGCCTCTTTCACAAACAAGATGTCCATGTGCTGGATTAAGTTGCTGCTGTCAACAGAAGTTGACGGAAGAGAAGCCACAAGGCTAAGTCAAGAAAATCTGGTCAGGTTTTCGCCCCCTTTGGGATTCCTCGTATTGCCCTAGCCGGACTATCGAGCAATGCAGTGCAAAGGCACTGTGGCAGGAAGAGATTGCCAGGTTTCCCAGAGCTGCCATCACCTCAGACTGGGTCTCAGGTGTGAGGGCAGCAGGTAGAAGCCCCCGTCACGAGCACAGCCTGCCCAGCTCAGAGAAATACAAGAATCTCAGGTCTGGGCAATGTTTGGAACTCTTTTCCGAGAGATGCCCTGGATGAGAGGCACCACCATCGCCCCCAGTGCAGCCTGCACTGTATGACGGTCTTCATTTCAAACCTGAACTGTCGTGTGTAAAGCTCATGAGGCTGACTTGCTAGACTTTAGCCTTCCTCCTGTTTCTCAGTAACTCTTGCCAGGTTGGATTCCTGTCTGCACTCGCCAAGCAAGTTTGCCGTTAGTGTCTCGTATTCTTCCTTCTTTTTAAAGAATGGAGATGTAAGAGGCAAAGGTATCAAGGGAACTATGCTTGCTGCTATTATTTATTAATTGATTGATTGATTAAAACATTTTTATGCCGCCCCATTTGCCGAAGCCTCAGGGCGGCTTACAACAATAAATTAAAATAATTATAATCTTAAATTAAAAAATATAAACATTAGATTAAAAATACAAAAATACAATATAAAATAAGCCGCCCTGGCCAGATAAAATCCAATAATATTAACAGTTAAAATGCCGCTTCAATAAAAAGGTCTTCGCCTGGCGCCGAAAAACAAATAAAACAAATTATTACTCTAACCGCTGTGCTTATACCCTGCCTTTTTTCCCTTTGGCAAGCAACCCATGTTCCTCTTCTCTCCTTTTTATCCCAGCAACAATCCTGTAAGGCTCAGTAGGCTAAGCGTGAGTGGCTGCCCCAAAGCCACCCAATGACCCTCTTGGTCAAGTGGAGACTAAAACCCAAATCTCCAGAGTCCCAGCAGTCCCATGCTCCAACCACTAGACCATCCTGGCTCTCAGTTTGAGGCTGGCAGGAAACTTCAGTAGTATATTCATGAGACCTTCCTGACTTTTCATGCCTTTTGAAGACACTTCTCACGGGCAACAGACTGTGCTACTTCACCTCTGTCAGTTGAGAGCTGCCTAATCTTTGGAATGTGTCTAGTCTCTTATTTATTATTCATTTATTTAAGATTTTTTTATACTGTGGTTCATTAAACATCTCATGACAGTTTACATACTTCCTGCTGATAGATGATAAGAATGCTGAACTCCTTCTCTGTCATTCAACAGGAAACAATAAGCAGGGGGTTGTTGTGGCTCAATTTTCTGTTATTTTGTCTTGACCAGCCATCACATTCCAGGGCACCCTGACACGGAAGACTTGCGGCTTCTTCCGAGAAGCTCCTCGGATGCTCTCACCCCGTATGACAGACATGGGCCAGAAAGTGGGAGAGCTTGGCATGCAATGAAATCCACACTTCTGGAATGTTAGGAGCCCGGTCAAGATTAACTCGTTTGTACTCAAAGTGGAAGTAATCAGAAAGGTATAGGACAAATAATTCTTGTGCTTTTTTTGCTTCAAAACCATCTTTTTCTGTCTCCTTTGGTGAAGATTGTGTAGGATTTATAAACGGCGCTTTTGTTTTGGCACGCTATTCAATTCCCCCACTCTGTAGCCCGGTTCACGTGATCGTTGAAACAAGCTATGGACCCCTGCCTCCTTTTGTGCAGAAAAGGAGAAGGGGGAAGCATCCGTTGTCACTACAGAAGAAAACACAGCTTCATCTTGTGTAGCGGCTCCGGGGACCACGCTTTGTTTCTACCTAGAGCTCATTAACAAACTAAGATCTGGAACTGCACTTTGATCCTGGCTTGTTTTAACACACTTGAAAGTAGATGAAACCACAATTGCCCCAGCTTAACACACAATGGTTTACTAACATGAACAAGAAGAGGACTTGTTTATTTGATTTTGACTTAAGTGACTCTCTGAACCTAGCCTGTTTGATTTCTTTAGGCTTAATCCAGCCAAAGTTAATCACCGAAAGTCCAGGGACGGGACCAAGACACACCAACAAACTGGATTCCTACAAGCTTCAGCAGGAATGGATTCCGACTGTTTTGTGCTGGGCTGGGCTTTGCATTGTTCATGTATGTGAAGTTGCTCTGTGCACCAATTTCCTGCATTTAACAGAAGGCGTGGTTTCAAGGGGACTGAAATGCTTGTGCACTCTTACATTTTGGCCCAGAAAAACAGAACATTCAGAGCTCTGCTGAACCAGATTGCCTGTCGATTTATCCCAGCATCCTGTTTCCAACAGTGGATAGTCACATGGCTCTGGGGAGCCCTAAAAGTAATTCTCCCCTGCTGTTTGCTCCTCAGTATTTGGAAGTATATTCCCTCTGCTCCTTGCAAATGCACTTCCTGAATGATTACAATGTCTTCTACAGGAAACCTGCTTATTTTTCATATTACAAGTCAGCTTTCCCCAGCTTGGTACTTTCCATAGGGAGGACTGCAGCTCCCATCATCTCCTGCCATACCAACTCCTACTTTGAAAGCAGGCCTTCCACATGGGCCTCTTCACTTCACTTCACCTTCAATCACAGACATCTGAACTCAGTGAACCAAAGCAAAACTCCCCAAGCAGCTCCGTTGAACCGAGCTTGGGCAGCTCCTTGTGAAAAATCCCCTTGCCCTTTGCAGTACAGCAACAAGTCCCCTGGTGTGACTTACTGAATAAAGCAGGTAGATGAGATAAGCCACTTCAGGTAAATTCTGAGTCATAAAAATCCAGGTGAGAGGTTTCAACTCCTTTAAAATCTGCAAAATAAGAGAAAGAGAAAAGAACAGAACAGAACATGAAGCCGCACTGAGAAACTGCACAGTCACATCTGGATCAGGGAAGTCTTTCGCCTACTTGAAAGATACATTCGGTCTTCTCATTCTATAGCACAAGGCCCTCTTCCAAGGGTTACCCATTTACCCTATCAAATATCAGTTCCTTCAAGGTACAGGTGGGATGGGGCGGCTGCGGGACGAACAAGGAGCCCTGCCAAAGATCCTACGCAGCCTGGGGCAGCCACTTCTCCACACAGGTGGAACGAGAGCAGAAGCCCAGGCAGGCTCTCGTCGGGAAACACCCCGGCTTGGGGGACCACCCTCCGGAGCACGGCAGCCTCTTCGGGAGACACTCACCGCGACGATGCCACACGTGACCTTCAGGATGGCCCAGAGGATGCCGACGGCCAAGAAGACACTGTGCAGAACGCAGATCTGCTGGAGGCTTGATAGCAGCAGAGCACATAAGCAGAGCTGGAAGGCAGAAGGCGGAAGTCAAGGAGGCTGCAGGGGGAGAGACCCAGAATTTCTTGGCCGCTGACACACCCCTGTAATGGTTAAGTTTTTTCCTCTTTTTTTTTTGGACTTCTGCAAAGGTTGAGACTCCCCCAGATTTGCCAGCACCTCTTTTCTGTGCATGCGTGTCATGGGTTTGGCCACATCAGGAGAACAGGCTGAAGGTCAGGGAAAGAGGGAAGGTTCTCACGGAGCCTAGACTGCAGCGCTTCTGCACCATATCGGTACTCAAGTGAGTAAGGCTTTATTCGACATCTTGCATACACAAAACCCAGTTCACTGCCCACAGAAAACTAGCATGTTGGGACGGGACCGTAATCCCGAGCCTTTCCCACATGCAGTCTGCTGTTAAGGGAGCACCTGCAGATCATATGCGCACGCACCCTTTTTCTGTAACAGCGCAATGCAAGAATTCACAGACCGTACCCCTTCTAAATATGTTTAACAAAACATATTTCATTTCCCTTAATACTTTATTGGTCCTCTAGCTTTGCGCGAGTTGCCCGGAGTATTCCTTCTTTGGAGAAGGCCAGTCCATAAAGTAATCCAATAAAAAGAACATTTATATTCATGGTCATTCTATTCCAGATGGCAAGGCTAAGTCAAACGCTAGTCCGACTTAAGAGGAAAATCGCTGAAATGAACAGGGCACAGGCTTCTTAGGACTAAATTAAGCCTCATTCATGCTAGTGAGTCTTTTCCAGGTAGGACAACTGCTGGATTCACCAGATGTCGACAGCTGGAGAGGAGGGAGTGGGTATCACACCCAGGGGCAGGGTTTGAGGCCACGGCCTACCTGCGCCTGGAGGTCAAAGGTCAGCATGGAGAAGCAGAGGTTCAGCATGACGTATTGGGCCTGCACGCTCTCCAGGGCGCCCCCAACCCGGAAGGCCATCATGCTTTCGCTCTGGATGAGGACAATGGCACAGATCACGTCGAAGGCCCCAACCAAGAGGATCAGGACGAAGCGTGCCTGCAGGCCAGAAAGGGCACAGACGGTCAGAACTGGCTGCCCTCCCGCCCCACGGGGCTGGAGGCAGCTCTCCATCCGGCTGAACGTGCTCGACGAGGAAGAGCACAAAATGCAGGCATTTGGCTCGCCCGGGGAGAAGTGCGGAGGAGGTGGGAGAAGGAAGTCAACAGAATTTACCAGAATGCCCCAGCAAGGCAATTTGAGCCAGATACCTGGAAGGAGGAGGGGTCCTGTTGGATGGAAACCCGAATACTTCGAAAACCACGTGGCTACGGACATGTGCAGGGCAGGAATTAAGAAGTGCACTTCTCCAGAGTATCATTGCTCCTCCTTTCTTCCCACTCCTCCCAGCATGCACTGGGCTAGCCTTTCCCAATACAGCGCCTTCCATAGGTGCTGGACTATAATCCCCGTCCATGACGGGGACTGCAGTTCGCAGCCCCTGGAGGGAACCAGGTTGGCAAGGCTGCAGTGCATCCTCCTCCTGCACCGCGGGAGGAAGCGAGTCCTTGCGGCAAAGGGGCCCGGGGGGACGTGTCTCCATCCAGGGCTACACTGGCAGCAAGGCCTGATCCTGCAACGCACAGGAGGCTCCCCGGGATTCTGACCGGCCGCCGGACACTCACAAGCAACTTGGGCTTCTGCTTGGCGGACAGCACCGTGAAGTTGACGACCGAGCGCAGCATGACCAGCGAGACGGAGAGGACGAAGGCAATGAGCTCCTGCCGGTTCTCTTGAAGGATTCCCCGGCTGACGTAGTAGATGCAGAAGACTGCCGAGGGAGACAGAGGCCCGTCAGGAGCCGTCCGCGTGGGGGGAAGGAGAGAAATCTTCTGGGCGGAACGGGGAGCTTACAGCAGATGTCAAGCACGCGATTTCTCCACTTGCTCAATGTTTAGAGTTTGGCGAGATGGATGGCGTTTCTTTCTCCAAGGGTGGAGAGGTCATCCCGCCATCCACCCATCCATCCTCCCAGCCACGTGCCTGTAGAATAGAAATCTCTTCCTAGGAGCATCAGGGGAGTGCTCAGGACCAGCCAGGGGCCCCTCCAGGCCAGCATGGTGCTCACCAGGCAGCCAGCCCGCTGGAAACCTACGCACAAGGCAAGGAGCGCAGCCGTCCCCCCGTCTGCCTGCACTGTGGAGCCACTGGCCCGGAGAGGAAGGCCTCTCCTGCTCCCCTGCCTCAACAGGAGGTTGAAGCCGGGGCCTGGAGCTACGCAATCCCCTGCCATGCAAACAGGCGGGGGGGGGGGGCTACACAACCCCTGTTGCTGGTGACACCAGGGGCAGAAGCTGGGAGAAGCAGCACGGTGCAGATGGGATCGGCTGCCCCCGTTTGGGGCATCAAGGAAGCCTGGCTGGGTCCACAAATTGGCCCCACGCACCTTCATTGTCCTGCCCAGAGATCATCTCTGCCCAAACTGTTCACGGGGAACAGCTGTGAGGGGCTGCCAGACAGACACTGCAGAGTGGTGCATTTCCTCCGTTTACGCCCCACTGAGCCAACCTCTGGCCAGACAGGAGGGCCTTGAAGTGTTGGACGGACCACTGGTCACTTTTTCTGCCTGTCTTTGCCAGCGGAAACTTACAATTGGCACAGCCAGACAACCTATCGGGGGCCCTAAGCGTGCCCCAGCGAAAGAGGGAAGTTTTCTTTTTGAGAAACGACAGACTCCATTATGCACTTTTCCAGGACAAAACATTGAGTTCTTTGCTTCATGAGCAATGATGCCGACTGTTTTGCCGGATGCACGCAAAACTTCGGCCACGGTTCAAGCATCTCGAAGGATCTTGCCCTTGTCTGTCCATCTTCTCTCTCCATCGCGCTACAGAGTAAACTCTCACCCAAGTTTCAGGGCAAGTGGGCCTATTTTTCAGGGAGTTAAGACAAGCTTTCAATGATAAGAACAAGAAATGTTTCTCTTACTTGCCAAAATCGAATCACTCCCCTATCCAGTTATCTGATGAAATGTAATTAACATTTAGCCTGCGTATTAAACACTGACACCCGATTACCACTGCATGTACCACAACATAAATAATTATGTGCTCTTAAGACAGACCTGTTCTTTGCCCATTTTGGTGGAATGTACTTCTGGCATTATTTACTGCGATCTCCTCCAACCAGCACCGGACTAGAATTCCCATCATTCCCAGCCAGCAGGGCTCGTGGCATGCAGGGATGCCATGGGCGCTGCAGACAAGGGCGACAGCGTGGCCCCGTCGTTCCACGAACGAGGAATTTCAGAAGCCCACGTGGTGCAGGGGGAGCGGGTATGGACAGAGCTGCTCCCCTTTCTTCAGGATTCACAAAACCAGAAATGAACCGCTGAACACACTATCAGGAAAAGCACGTTATGCAAATAAGAAAAAGCATACGTTGATTTCCAGGTTGTGCGATGCAGCTTTTCTCAGCAAACCAGCTGAGAGTAACGGATGGTGTATGGTTAGTCCTGCCCACACGGCCTTTCCTGCCATGAATTTCTATTTATCAGAGCCGGATCACTCATCCATCCATCCTACCTAGCCTAGCCGTCTGCTCCGGCTGTCTGTTGCTATGGTCACAGCCCTTGCCTCCTGGACCTCTGACAGAGAGGTGATTTGCATATGTATGGGTTTCGTGTCCCTCTTGCTCTCTCAGAGGGAACAATCCTGCAGTGCAGGGACGGTGGGCCAGCCTCGGAGCCTGGAAATGGAGCTCAGATCCCATCCTTTGCCCCTGTCCAGCCTGAATCACGCCAGCTGCTCCCTGGGGTCAGGAAGCCTGCCCCAGAGAGGGGCCTTTGGGGGAGATGGGAGCTGCCGTGGGTTGAGGCGTCCTGAAGCTGCCCCCGCTGGAACAGTGTCACAAGAGGACCATGATCCCCCTTCGAGCAAAAATGCAAGGAAGAGGAACGGAAAGGCAAAGAAGGCCTCTGCCACACACCCCTCTCCACACTGGATGAGGACGCTCATTCCGACCGGACTGCACGCTCGAGCGGGAAGATGTGGGCCCTGCCTTCATGCTGTGCAAGGACCGCGTGACAGTGCAATACGTTAAAAAAACAACCACCCTAGATTCCATCCACTCCACATTAAGGAGCCTGAAAACAGTCTATCCATAAACAGCACAGTGCGTGGAACCAGGAGCAACAGGTCTGATGACCACCTGCCAGATGTAAACAGCTGATGGCTATTTCTGGGGAGCGGTGAAGAGTCCTAGTGCCACCACCAAGAAGGCCTTCTCCTTAGTCCACACCCCCCCATCCTCCAGTCAGCATGGGATGCGTCCTTGCATCATGTCTGGATTGCGTCGTAATGTGGTGAAATCCAGAAAACCTGGGCTTCTTTAGCCAAGCAGAACACTGCAGGTGATTAAAACCTCCATGATGCCAGGTAACCATCTGGAAAGGCCTAATTCATACTCCCTAAATCCAGAATGCTCGACCCTGTAAATTTAGCCCTACATTTTTATATGTCTGCATCGTTATATGCAGATCATTGGCAATCATTAAATCATACCTGGTTTAAGTTAACAGACCGTATCGCAAGCACTGGCCGACCTGATCTGCTCCCTGGAACCTGATGGCCTTAGATTCCACTTGGCAAACTCCTTCAAAGGGCAGCGCTCAAGAAACATGACCTTATCAAGGCTCTGGACACTGATTCATGGCTCGATGAAGGAAATCCGGCAAGGGAAGTAATTTAGTGTGTACGAGGGAATTGTTGGCATGGGAACGAGCCGAGCATTACTCAACTGACCACTTGCGTCGTACTGAAAGGGCCCGAGTGCTGTAATACATGAGAACGAGTTGTTCTAGAGTTGGAATGGAGGAGAATTTCGGTCGGCCCACCTTTTCCAGCAGATCAGGCTGATGCGCAGCCCCTGGACTAATTTATGACTTGGAACACGGCTGCCCGTTGGGCTGCACACTTCTCTAAATTTTGCAGTGCCATCTTCCCTCCCAAAATGCATGCGCTAGAAACGGCAGTCGGTGTGATTTGCTAGTGGAAGTCCCCATGTGTTGGGGCGAGACCCCTTTAGTCGATGTGACTCAAAGGCAAGATTTGGAGGTGGTGGGGGAAAAGTCCGGCGATGCTTCTACTAAGGAGTTGGGCTTGCTAGACAAGCTGCTGGGAGGCTGCATACAATGGAAGATGCCAGAAAACAGAACAGTTCAGAGGCACTTTTACCCAACCAGGTACCCCCACCCCCAGAGGCACTGCAATTCCCATCATGGGGCAGGAAATGATGGGTGCTGCACTGCAACACATTTAGATGGCGCCTGCTTGGGAAAGCCTGGTCCAGAGACTTGAATTGTTTGCCGACTGTCCAGAGAGGGGGACGATTTAAAGTTCTGGGTATGGTGACAATATAAATGGTCCTTTTCCAAATTTGGTTTCCTGACTGCAAAACGGACTTCACCATGTGCTGAGCGGCAGCATGGGGAGAAATGCAAATGCTACAGAGACTGCGAAGAGGGCTGGCTCCTTCCTGGAGGTTTGTGGTGTAGGGGGAGGCAAAATTATGGATCACAATTCCTCAAAACTGGAACTTAGGACAGGGGTTTTTCTCTGTACTGGCCCCTAATTTGACAGAACCAGGTAACCGTTATGATCCTACAGAGAGAGAGAGAGAGAGGAGAGGAACCACTATCCCTTACCGACTCCAATTAACTGAATGAGCGAGACGGCGAAGTTTTCGTCCTTCTGCAGCACAAGGTTCTCTATGGTCAATCCAGTGACGCTCAGGAGTGAGAGGATGGTGACGCAGAAGTAGATCTTGACCGGCGAGGACAGTTCTGACCACGGTTTGATCTGTAATCAGAATACGCGCGATTCTTTCAAACTGGGTGAGGCCAGGTGGACAGCAGTGGAGCTGAGTCTCTTTCAGACCAAGGGCCGAATTCTGTTTACGAGGAGCTCTTAGGAGGCTGTATCCTGTTAGTGGGACAGGGACAAGATGCCTTCCGTGGACTCCCCCACCCTGAGGGGTGACTCTAGGGTCGGGGAAAACACGCACCTAATCCTAGAAACTATCAAACTAGGGCATATGGGAGGAAGGATACCAGGGGAAGCTTGGCTATTTTGGGCAACCGGCCCGCAGACTTAAGGTCCAACGCCCACGGTTTACAGTTGCGGCAGGGAAGCCTCGCAAACATGTATGATTCTGCCGGGCAGCTGAAATATCGTTGACAACTTTGTGTTCGAGTTTGCAGAACCGGGATGCTACGGGTGTTCTGGTGCACCCGCAGCGCTTGGCCTAGCCAGACAGGCCAACAGTGAGGAAGACGAGTTTGTCCACATCAGCAGGGCGGCCACTCCCCCCTCCCACCTTCCGAGGCTAACAAAAGCTCGCAGATCTGCAGATGGCGCCTCTTCATTCCCTTTGAATGGAGGTGCTTTGAAATTGAATGGCAATCAGAATAGGGTTCCTGCAGCTGCATCGCTGTGATCATTATGCAAGAATTAACATCCTGGAAGCTTTTCCGTCAAGTAGCAAGCGCAGCTTGTGTTTTGTAAGCAGACAGGCAACTTTCTGGAAATTACTCATTCCACAAACCAGGACTGATAAAGCCCTTGAATGAGGGATTTAGGGGGTTCTTTGTCCATCTAGCATAGGTGCTTTGTGAGCTGCTGTTAGGATGGAAAGGAACTGTGGCCTTTGGAGCAATAAACACGAATCCAAACACGCCCCGCTTTTAGGCTTTTGTTATAATTAAGGAATCCTGGACCGTGTGTGAATCAAATGTCTCTTTTCTACTGATTAATCTTGTTTGTTACCTTATATAGCAGTATCTCTATCAGGAAATAGGTCTAGCCTGCAGATTTCTTTTGCTATTCTCGCCAAAGAGGCTACTTAAAGGCTGAGAATCAAGATGTTTTGTAGGTATGAAAGCTGCAATGGCAAAGTAGATTGATTCTCTACAAGCAGATATATAGGTTTGGCAGTCCTCTACCCCAGAGGGCCTACAATTGAAAATTGACACAGGGAAAGATGAGGAGGGAAACAGAAAGAGGGTCAACTGGGGAATATTATATGATCACTCCAGCTTGAATGAGCAGGAGTCAAGCCTTGCTCTGTATAAGCGACTGAAATTAATTGAGACGAGGGGAGGTGCTCTACTTACTGGACCGCAGGGGGTTGGGATGAGCTCTTGATGTCTTGGTGTCAGATTTGGCAATGGGGTGCCTACAGCCTCATTTGGCAACGGTGGATCTGCCGCCTCTTCAGGAGGGGAAAGGAGAACCCTGCAGCGGGGAGGAAACAGATGAAATCTCTGGAGAGGAAACCGAGAGAGATGCCGTGGCTGGAGAGCATGTGCACATATCTGGGAAAAGCGGCCAGGTTTCCCGGTTAGCCATGGACAAACTGGGGTTCTTACCAAGCCTGACTTTTGAAGTCAGGCTGCAGTTCTGACTACAGCCTTGCTAAGCACCTCCTTTACCCCTTCACCTGTCACTACCCTACCCTTTTAAAGCTGCCCAAATGTCACCATATCCCAAAAGGATGGTAGAAAAGGAGAGAAGGAAGGCCGTTCCACCAGTGCTGATGAAAAACTATTTTGTTTTCTCCTCTTCCCTCCTCCTCTGCCTTTCCTTGTGTGTCATGCCTTTTAGCCCGGCTGGGCCGTCTGGTTGCAGAGCTTCTGCGGAAGCTGCTCTGTGAGATAAAAAACACGCTGCAAGGAAACACGATCCACCTTTTCCATCAGCTCCCTGAACTGGAGACCCACAGGGGCAGGAGGAGCTGTCCAAACGTCCGTGAGGTGCTACGGGTGTCAGAGAAGAGCAGTGGCACGTTTATTTAGAACGGAGGGCATGCCACGCTCCCCCAGTCCTTGTTCCAAGCACCCAGCGCCAACAGTAAGAGTTTTATCCGTGAGAGGGAAGATGCGGCGCCAGCCAGGAGCTGTGCCCTTTCTTCCAGGGGGAGAATTTAAGGCAACCTTCCCCAGCCCAGAGCCTGCCAGGTGTTGGAGTAAAACTCCCACCATCCCAAGCCAGCCTGATAGGATTGGTAGTCTAGAAAGCACCAGGATTCTGCAGGCTGCTCCCAGCTCAGGTTGCTGGAACAAGTAAGGAACCTGGAGCTGTCTGGAGTTGTGTGTTTCTCTGGCCTGGCCCGGCCCGGCGCTTGGCTGCCCCCTCGTGTCCTGCCCACTTTCCACAGTCAGAGCAGGGCCATGGGTCTGTGCCGTTTGCCTCTGCGGGGAGCACACGGGGGCTCCAAAGCATGGCATCTGTGGCAGAATCCAAGGTTGCTCCCTGCCCTCTCATCTTGGGCCCCCTCTCTGAAACCCCAGTACCACTCCAAAAGGCATTCTGCTGCAGGTTCTTGCCCCACCAACAGTGCTGCATTGGGAACTGCAGCAATAACTTCCAAAATGCCACTAGCCCTTTCACAGACTTGGAGAAACAATGAAACTGTCTTCATTGTTCTGGTCCCCACTCAGCCATGCGACTCACTTGGGGGCCTTTTAGGCTGCCACTGATTCTCAGCCTGACCAACCTCGCTGGGTTGTAGGGAAGATAAAATGCAGCACAGGGTCCTCACCACCTTGGGCTTCTTGGAGGAAAGGCGGGATAGCAACGTAGAAACAGCAAGTTGTGGTCCTCAGTGTGGACAGGCAAGATCCCAACCACCTTATGGGTTATTAGGACAACATGGCTAGAAGGAAGCCAAGGTGGTGAACATCCCCTTTCCTACACTTAAATCGAAAGCTAACTTTCTAGTGCTGTTGAGGAAGCCAGCCTGTATATGTGGATATGCTTCTCCCAGGTTGCGATTTCAAAGAAAAAGCAAGCAAAGTTTCTAGTCTTGCTGAGGTAGGAGCAGCCTGGCCTATTTATCTGCAAATGATCCCATGCTTCAATGTCTAAAAAGCGAGGTTTCTAGTCCTGCTGAAGGAACAACCACAGGTTTATGTGTGTGCAAGCGCCCATGCCCCGGGCTTCGTTCTGGAAGAAAAGCCAGCATGCCAAAGAAGCGCAGCAGAGGTTCCGGGTGTGGGATCGCCCCAAGAGTTGGGAATGACGTCATCGGGGCGTGATGACGGCAGGAGGCGCCTCGCGGAGCGAGGTGGGGGCTCGGCTGGGGGCGGGGCGCTTCCCCAGCCCCGGTGGGCGGCCCCTCCCCCCCACCGGGCCGGCTACGGGTCCCCGCGAGAGGCAAGGCAGCTACTACCTCGTGTCGGGCGGCTTCATGGCTGCGGCGGCCGGTGCGTGGCGCGGCGCCTCGGCGGGTCCGCGGCGCGCACGGGGCCGGCCCATAGAGCGCGCGGCGGCTAGAGCGGCGCGCTTCCTGGGCGGCCGCCATTTGCGGCTGCCCGACCCGGGCGCGGCGGGGCTGACGGACAGAGAAGGCGGGAGGGGAGCGCGCCCGCCCGCCTCACGCAAGCACGGGCTTGGACGACGGCGTGTGCGGGGGGATAAGCCCAACGTGGGCTAATAATCGCTTCCGAAAGAAAACTTGGCATATTGTTCTCAAGACAGAGAGAAGCAAGCCGCCATCTTGATTAGCCCTCTCCGTGGCGGCCGCTCTGGCCCTCGCCGTCTCTATGGTAGCAGCGCCTTTGCACAGTCCGAGTAGGAAGCGGGGCCTGGAAAAGGCGCGGGCGCTGCAGTCGCCCAGTCCCTGAGCGCCCCTTTCCTTGGCGGGAAAAGGCAGTTCAGGCCTCGATCCCCGGAAAGCTCAGCCGAGACAACGGCCCCGAATGCCCCCTCCACGGCGACACCCGCCCTCCTGTTCCCCAGTGCACATCCGCGTCACGGCAGGACGCAAGCGCGGCTGCTGGGACGGGCCCCGCCCCTTCCGGGCGCCCGTGTGCCCGAGGATGCGGCGTGTCGTCACTTCCTGTTTGGGGCTGCACTATGTGGCGCCTCTGGCTCGGGGCTGCGGCGCCTTCCGCCTTCCTCTCCTGGGGGCTGAGAAGCTCCGCTGCCCGTGCTAAACTTGCATGAACGCGCTGAGAGAGGCCTCCTCTGTAACCGCAGCTCTGCAGAGTCGCCACTTTTCGGGTCCAGTGGGTTGGAGGAACTAAGTCGCGGGGCAGGGCATCTGTGCCTTGCCTCAAGTGGACTAGAAGCTTGGATTTACGTAGGGATAGGCTCGTACACTTCTGCCACTGCTGAGCAATTACTTTATTACATTTATGTCTGCCGGTTTTCCTCTTGAGAGGAGCCCTAGATGACCTACGTGGTGGTCCTCGCCATTTTATGTCCAAGACCACCCTAGTCCAACCTCAAGAAGTTCCCATCCAGTGCAGTAGCCTGATTTTCCTAGCAGCCTTTTAATCCCAGAAAAGGATGAAAGCCTGCATGCTCTATTTAGAAGTACACAGGCTGCCCCTGAACCAGGAGGGTTGTCGGGGCTTGGCCTCCTCCGTGCATCTATCTAGCTCCCATTTCAAGCAGTTTCCATCAGAGAAACCACATCAGATGTAAACTGGAAGCACCTATAACGGCCACCCCCGGCCCCTTGGCACAAGAACGTGTCTCAGCATTGCTCATGTGTGCATCCAGGCTCTGCAGCTTCCCAGGGAAACAAAATTCAAGACCCCGATGTGCGGGTTCTGTGGAAAAGGCAAATTTTGTTGAGCATAATTAGGAAAGGGATTGGAAATAAAACTGCCAGGATCATACACACATTTATATAAATCTGTGCTGTGCCACATGTGGACTGTTACGCATAGATCTTGTCACTGCACCAAAAAGGATTCTGCTGAGCTGGAGGAAGTGCAGGAAGAGCTGAGTCAAAGCAACCCTGTGAGGAGAGGCGAGAGCAGCTGGGACCATCTCAGCTTAGTAAGGGGAACATGACAGAGGACTTCAGAATGACTTCTGGAGTTTGGCAGGGAAGTATTTTCTCCTGCTCTCGTCCTACTAGAATCTGAATTGCTCACCCTGTGAGGCTGATGGGTGAGAGATTCAGGCCAGATGGAAAACAGCCGTCATTTGCACTGCACGGAGCTGAACGGGAATTCATTTTCCTGAGATGTAGTGCTGGGTACCAAGGTGGACCAAGGACCTATCCCTGGAGCAGAGGGCTGCCCGTAGCTACACCTATGCAACTGGTGAGGGTAATGTTGACCTAGATGGACCCTTGCCGGGGTCCTGCTGGTCTCCTCTTCCTTTAATAAGGAAAGGGGCTAGTCCTCATGACCCTATGCTATGTCCACATTAGAGACGGCGCAGCTATGGACACCTCATGTGCGCTGCACGAAACGCGTGCCGGCTAGACAGGCCCTGGTCCGGACTCAGCCGGGGGCCTGCCCTTTGCACGTGCCCAGAGGCACGCCCCACCACGCGGCCAAGCGCAGCCCGCGGCGGCGACACCCCCCCCCCTCCGCGGCTCCCCCGTGCCACTCGCCCTTCCCCTGCAGCAAAGCGGCGCCCGCGCCCGCCCGGCGCCCCTCTCGCTCCGCCCGGAGGAGGAGGAGGAGGAGGAGGAGCTGTGCGCGCGTCGGCGGCCGCCCGGGCCATGGCTGCGGAGGGCGAGCGGGGGCCCTGCCCGGCGGCCGAGGCAGGTGGGTCCGCGGGGGCGCCCGGGCCGCGTCGCTGGC